ACGGAAAGTCAGTGAAGCCCTTGCAACTGTGGCATTTGCCTGGGTTTCATTTTGAGAACCTGGCCAGGCCCAAACCAGATCATAATGCTTTCATTGGTCTGGTAAACCGAGGCGAAGACGGCCGTTTCACCGGTGTGCCAGCAGATGTACAGGCTAGTGGGGAATACACTTCGATGTTCGGGGAAGCAGTTGCGCAGATTGTCCGGAATCTATTGTGACGATCCGCTTCGTCAGCCAAAATAGGTTTCATAGCTTACTGAGCTGCATGCTTTTTATTCAAGCCAATCTGCTGTGACTGGTTTTTGGGGTGTGAATGCTGTGACACAACAGCAACAGCAGGCCATGCAGCAACACAGGTAAAACAGTGCGATGACTGATGAGAAGGTTGCATAACAATTGAGACACAAGTCTGATTTGCTTGCAGCCTTATGTCGATGTGGCTGTCTCAGTGAACACACTTGGAGGAACAGAATTGATATGGCTCTTTCAGTGAACACACTTGAGGAGGATTCCTCAAGATTTCCTCAATTCGAATCGTCAACCTTGCCAAGCAATGCCATGCTGACTCAAGATTTCCTCAACCTTGCAGCAACCTGTTTAAGTTGACAGGTTGTTCTGAGCAGTGTGAGGAAACAATAGATGCCATCCACTGTGACCTTGCCCGATGTGCCCATGTCGGTGCAAGGGGTCAGTGGCATGGCACAAGTGAACACACTTGAGGAACAATTTCTTGTTGACAATTTGGGAGTCACACCTTTGCAGCTTCTGCCGGCTCTTGCACAGACGTCCTCAGCCTTGCGAAAACCTGTTGGTGTTGCCGGGCTCTCGCCCGAAGAGCCATCAAGTTTCCTTGCTTGGGGACACAAAGGCCAGCCATCTAGTGTGACCTTGCCCGACGTGCCAATGTCGGTGCAAGGGGTCACTGGAATGGCACAGCTTCCGGTTGCTCTGTTCACACACCGGCTTGGACAGAAATAATACTACATTTTTTCATGGTTTTCTCAACAATTTTCAGTGTCTGCAAATCTCCAGTTACATTAATTCTGGACAAACCTACCGTGTCGTAACGTATCCAATAAGTCTTTGTTCAGGTTGACTTCTGATTTTGATAACTTTGGTTTTTGCCAAGCCCACTGATCCAGCCCCCGCGGATCCAACCCTACAAACGAGCATATGGATTAAAGCCATGGCTCTTCAATCTTGTGGTTGTTCGTTGTATTCTATAGTGTATTCTTGCGGATAAATGTGATACCATCCGTCTACCAAGCTGTGCATGTCTTCACCCTTGCATGATGCATAGGACCGGTCATATTATGGCTACTCAAACAGGTCCTGTTGTCTCAAGCTACATGCAGGCGACCAAGTGGATCATGTTACTGGGTCCGTGTGCATATGTACACATGCACGTATATGTACATGTAGGTCCCTGCCACAATAAGTTTCGATACTGCTTTTTTTCGTGTGACTGCGAGCTTCTTATTTTGTACATACTTGTGTAAGCACTTCTAAATCTATGAATGCATAAATAAACATACACATATATAAATAGACAATGCATAAAAAGTCGACCCCGTGATCCACGAAGGCCAGCTTCTGGACTACGTGCGGGTTGTACAGCACCGAGGCCGGTTGTTTTCCATCAGGACAGCGCCGACGATCGTCTTGTGGTCGCGCCCAATTGTTCTTGCCCTAGTCTCTCTGTTGCGGTTGAGCATCCTCGGGAGCTCGACGACGACGAGCAGTATAGAGCCCCGAGATCCCGCTGTTCTCAGGAGCTGGGATCCGAAGAGGAAGCCCTAGCAAGGGAGCTTGCTCGGAGCCTCAGGCTGCGTCTGAGATTCGAGCTGGCGGAGACGACCTGGCTTCGAGCAAGGAATAGCCACTGGCCCATGCCGACAATCGAACATCCGGGCCGATCGGCTGGTCGCGAAAATGGCCATGGAGAATGGAGAAGAGCTTGCAATTCCCTCGATCGAAAGACTCATGGAAAAACTGACCAGCGGAATGCCAACCTATGTCCCCGTTGATTATGAGACACATGTGTATGAAAAAAAGACACAAATTCCTAATTTTTATATAGGCATGTACTTGCAGATCTACAGTTATATATATACACACTCTCGAACCGCAACCCTACACAATGGGGCAGGGGGGGGTTGGGGGTCAGGCGGGTTTGAACCAAAACTGTACACTATGTACTTGGGGTGAGACTGCAAGAGAAGGAGGGGTGGTGCAAGTGAGGGAGCGGTTGAGCCAAAACTGTACATTATGTACTTGGGTGGGACTGCAAGAGAAGGAGTGGTGCAGGGAGGAATGGGATGAGTTGTTTTCTCATCTCAACCCCTGCCCCGTGCCCCAGAGTCAGGGTGGAGGGAAAAGAGGGAGGATAGCTCTCTGCTGCTCAACCCCAGAGTAGGGGTTCGGGAAGAGATGGAGGATAGCTCTCTGTTGCTCAACCTTGCGATCTGAGCAATGGGTCTCTAGTCTTCCGCACTTGTAGTAGCTATTCTCTGCATTTCGCCTGACAGAGCCGTGGGACGGTACGGACCCTGTGCAGAGGCTTCTTATATCTCTCAAATCTATAATAATAAGTGAGTGCATATATGAACATGTGCATAGTAAAAAATCATGAGTATACATACGTATCTGTTTCTAATGCGTACATACATACATACATACATATATATATATATACATACACACATGTATGTACGTATGTGTGTGTAGGCGCTTTTAGGCGCTTAGGAGCTTTTAGGCGCTTTTAGGCGCTGAGGCGCTTTTAGGCGCTTAAGCGCTTCTGGGCGCTTAAGCGCTTTTGGGCACTTAGGCGCTGATCGGCGCTTTTATGCGCTTAGGCGCTTTTATGCGCTTAGGCGCTTGTAGGCACTTTTAGTCTAGGCGCTGAGGCGCTTTGAAAGGCTTAGCGCTCGTGACGTCTCCATGTCTTTTATGACAAGCCCCGGTCGTCGACACGCCTCTATAAGCCTCTATTGCAAGGCCTGGCGGCTCACAGACCTGCATAAGCCTCTAAGCCTCTATTCCTAGGCGCTGAGACGCTTATGCGCTTAGAAGCTTGTAGGCGCCTGTATACTCTTCTGGCCTGGTTTAGGCGCTGAGACGCTTAGAGGCTGAGGCGCTTATAGAGGCTGGATCGAAATAAGTAGTCCCCCAATGCGCCTGCAATGCACTATCTCACCTCGTAGGCTTTGCTTGATCTATGTCTTGTCTGGCTGCCCGAAGCCTCAGTCGCTGCTTCTGGTAGGGTCTAAGATTTCAGGATTCCTCCAACCCTGCACTACATCCGATCCTATGTAGCAGAGGCGCTTTTGGCAGGTTATCGGATTCGAACGCTCTTGATTCGGAATTCGGGTTCAGTGTTGCCAGAGAGGGAGCAAAAACACAAGCATCACAAAGAGAGGGCAGAGAGATTTGAGGGTTGATTTTCTATGTTAAGAGTAAGAGAGATAGAAGGGAGGGAGAGAGAGAGAGAGAGAGAAAGCCAAAGATAATGAAGGGCCGAGAAGCGCAGAACGCAAGAGAGAGTGCAGGCTGGCCTTCTTGTTCAGCGTCTTCCCACTCGTCTCTGCCTTGCAGGTCAGCTTTGTCGGATGCCAGTTCACGTGAATTTGCAAGACGAGAGCCTCAGCATAGAAGCCGTAGATCTGCAGCTGTCTCTCCACCTGCGCTTCAGGATTCGCAGAATTGCTCACTAGAAGCCGGCCGGCCAGCTCGAGACTCCATGCAATACGTGGAATGGTGCAGCTGTGTTGTACGTTTAGCAGCGAGGCTCGGCAAGATGGGCGTCAGTCAACTGCTTCTGGGGCACGCGCCCAAACAGCGTACTCGTTGAACTGCGTTCCGACAGGAACAACTTTGACCTGTGACTTCATGATCAGGCCACTTGCTTATCTCATGTGAGCACATCAGGTGGCAGATGTCCGACATCATGGAGTTGTCATCTTGTACATCTTTCAAGAGCTTAAGCATAGGCACTGGTCCAAGACTGTCGATGGCGCGAAGCAACATGAGCAGTTTCCGACAAGAGCTTTCATCAGGACTGAGTGACTAAGTCCTAGTGCGACGTGGACAGCCTAACGGTAGCTTTGGCACAACTAGGCACCTGCCGTGGCGAAAGCCAAAATGGCCACTTGCCAGCCTTGGAAGCCATGAGCCGACCAGGCTTTCAACTTGGCGGACAAAATCGAGTAGAAAAGTCCTGGCAGGTGCTTGTTCTAGGCTTCGGACGTAGTGCTCCATGAGGATGGCAGACCTTCGGGTCATGACTTGAACCCTCGTTCTCATCAAACTCCATCTCACATCGTCCACTCCGCCATCATTACTCCCAGTGCATGACAGACGGCAACAGCAACAGCAACAGCAGCAGCAACAACAACGGCAGCAATCTTGCAACAGCCGTAGTGCTGTACGAACCATCACAGCAATCGCCGCGACATCACAAGCCAAGCTCCAAAACCAGCAGCATTAACCAATGCTACTTGGTTAGCGTCTCTTGTTTCAGGGGCTTGTGCTGCAAGATGCGCCACTGTGCCAGAGGCCGCTGCATTCGCTCGACCGAACCCAGAATCGCACGATGAATGACGACCTGGGCAGCCGCAGAAGGGCACGTAGGATTCCGGCTTTCCGGGCATGAGGCAAGAATGGGCAAGAGGCAACACGCAACAGGAAAGTTGCAGTGGTTGCATGGAAGTTTGCTAGTTGCAGCCGCCGTTTTGACTCAGTAAGTCAGCCTTTTACAGCTGTTTGGAGACTCTGGGGGTCAGCACCGGGCGCTCGAATCCATTCTTCAAACGGCCCTCGCGCCAAATGACCTGCACCAGACTTCAAGAAGAGTTGCATGCCAGCCGCCCGTTTCAAAGCTAGACTGCTAGAAAAGCAGCTGCGACTTTGTCGATCAGCATTTCTGCCAGCTGGCACAAATGCTGATCGCATCTTGCAAATCGCCTTTTCCGTCAGCATGCTAGGTGCGGTGCCCTGCACCACTACCGCAGAATACCCGAAGTGATAAGCAGCGTCACGGTCGACGCTGTGCCAATCAGGACCCCTGCCACAGCGAAGGTCACCGGCAGGACCTTTCAGTGACGCTTCGTTTCGGGTTCCCTGTGCAGGGCTGTTGACCATACTTCGAAAACTGTACACTCTGTGGTCCTGTATGACACCGCCTTTAAAATACAGTAAGTGAGCTCGCGCCTTGAGGAGTTATGCACTCTCGGTACACCCTTCGACCGTCAACTTTCAAGCTTGGCAGCACGGTCCTGCCTTGCCCCAAATGGACTTGTGGACGCAGCTGGCGCACATGCCGGGGAACACAAACCTTGGACAGGGCCAGGCGACCACAGGATCAGGCAGCACGGAAGAGCAACCACTAGCCGCTTCAAGCCAGATCGCATAATCGCCGTGGTGCAAACGGCACTTGTGAGCCCCAAAGGCAGAGCCAGCGCACCATCCAGTGCCCTGAGCAAAACCGCAAATTGGTGCTCTGACTCAGCTTAATCCAGGGAGTTATCCGTTGCAGATGCATCTGCGAGAAGAAGGGTAAAAAGGCCAAAAGCTGGCACAGGAAGCGAGCCTTGCCACCAGAACCATGCTGGCAACAAGTATGACCGTGGAGACCATCCGCGACACTCCTGGGTCCAAAGCCGGGAGAGCGCTGCCGTGTAGTGCTGTGCGGATCTAACATGTGGATCAGGTGCCAAATGTTGCAACCCATCCTTGTCCTCTAATGCCTCAAATCGAACCGCTGAAGCGACAAGTCAAGTGGTTCAAGGTATAGCAGCGACAAGCACACCTACGGAGCTTGCCAATTTTTCAGAGGGTTGTATTGGAAGGACCTTCAAGGATCGTGACATCAGTCCCTCTTCTAGCCTTTGCCTTTCAAGCCTGAATTCCACCCCAGAGGTTGAGAGATTGCACACAGCTGTCAAACCACTCCCACAACCTGGAGCAAACTGCTACATGGGGGCCTCTCGGCGAGTCCGAGCTGACGCCGAACCAAAGATGGCAGAGAGCTGCACGTGCTAAGGGGATGTAGACTCCTGGAGCACTGCGTCCTAGATAGCCAGATGTCTTGGTCTTTGAGCTTCCTAGCTACCTATGTTTGGCATGGGTTTTAGGTTTTGATGCTGGAAGGGCGGGGTGGGCACTTGCCCGCAATCACGAGCTGTCCAAGGCAAGGTCTCCCTTGGTACAAGGCACGGCCCGCCGTGAACACGGATCCAAGGCGAGGGTGGCGGTGCAAGGAGCACACCTATCACGTAAGCCAAACAATGGAGTAGCAGCTCCTGATGGTTAACCCACTAGTCCTGCAGTATCTGTGCCTTATGCTCTTACAAGGTCTTCTTTGTGCTGTTTCTGTGAAGTTCAGATCTGAACCGTGAGAGACGTTGTGGTTGCTCCAAGATGGCTACGAAGCGTGAAGGCTTGTAGCTCCTGTGGGCCACTTTCACGCAGGCCCTGCTTCGTGCGTTGCTGGATTGTCGTTCATGATGCACCGAACATCCGACATGCACCGAAGCGCTGAGTGGAACAAACTCTTACATCCAGGCTTCCCCTGGAAAGAAGACCTTGGGGCCAAAAGGCTCTAGGATACTCCGTTTGCTGCATCCCTGAGACCGTCACCTCGTCTCCTCTTTTGGCGCTCATACCCTCGTGCTTCCGCACAGGCCGGGTGACAGCAGCAAAGGCACCGAAACAGACGGAATAGGGCCAGACCCGGACACTGTATGCTTCATCTGGATCGGCCGCCGCGAGTCATCTAACAGTAGTGGTGCACCTGGTACTTGTAGTACTATACAAGTCCGAGTCCTGCACAGGCAGCTGCCAGCTGTAGCGCCAGGGCCAACCGAGCCACGAGGCTTGGCACGTGGCTGGTCGGGAAGCCTCACACGCGAAGTCTTCAGGTTCCATCGGTTCTCTCAGGGCCTTCGGGCTCGGGGCCATCGAGGACGTTGTCGGGAGCTGCGCCGCAGAAAGCAACATAGCCTGCCGCAGCTGAAACCTGGGCAAGTCCACGGCCAGAAGCTTTCCAGGCATGGTCCCTCCATGTGTGTGGCAAGAAACCATGTAGTCCAGCAGGGCAAAGGTTTGGGCCACCCAAATCCTCAGATGCATTCACAGCATCATGCAAGGCTGAATTCGCAGGAAACAAGACTCAAATTGATGTTGTGCTACATACTGCTGCTGCTACATGCAGCAGGAGTCAACGCAACCACGTCCTTGCGATGAGGCTGAATGTTGGCAAACTTCCTGCAGCACATGGAGCAGCTGCCAAACATGCCGTCATCAAGTGCCTTAACCATTAGAATAGGGTTTTGGAACCCATTATACTATGAGTCTGTTGTGAGGAACCCCCAAGATAGTATAGGCAATAAGGCCCTATGCCTCATTGAAGGCCAAGTCGCTGGGCTACCATCTCCGAGCGGATGGATACAAATGCGGTGGCCGCCTTATGTTGGTGGAAATCACACAAGGGCTCGTGATGTAGCAAGCGACCACACATCCGAGCAACTGCTAGACTCTAGACATCGTCCCTGGATGCACTGAGTTATCAGGCGAGTCGCATTCATGCAAAAACTGAACATTGGCACGGCGGATAGGAGTTCTTTGGGTGACGAAACCCACGCAACGGGCTCCAAGTTACCTTCAGGGAAGCGGATGTGCTGAGCAGCGGCTCTGATATGTGTACATCCATCGATGATCCCACTCTCACTGAACAAACCATACCCCCCTCAATTTTCAATGTTCTTTGCCCTCGCGAATTCTGAACTGACACCATGGAGAAAGTGCGTAAGGGTTCGGAGAGTGTCCAGATTATTCCAGATTCAACACTGCAACACGTGTGGCCCAGCCCTCTCGGCCGACCTTGTTGTTTTCAGTGTACACACAGCTCCCTCTCTCTCTCTTTCTCCCTCTCTGCTTCGCAGGGGAAAGGTCCACTCTGTCTTTCTTTCTTTCTTTCGCCAGGGCTATGGGCAAGGGGATTGACACCCTCTCTCTCTCTCTCTCTCTCTCCCTCTCTCCCCATTGACATGAAGTCTGCGGGAGCATGATGGACCCTGACGAGCGCCCCACAAGTCCTTGTGAAACGCGGCGGGCCTTTTGGGATCTGGAAACAATCTCGCGCTGGAATTGGCTTATGGCAGCAGCTTAGATCCTGCTCCGTCTGCGACGCTCTGTGTTGTTCTCTGTCTCTCTCCCGCTCCTTTGTTGTTTCTGCCTGCTCTGTGCATACCTATCTTGTCACAGACGAACATCCGGAAGAACTCGCCTGCGTGCAGGTGTTCAGCCAGTGCATCGTTGCAGAATTCCACAAAGGGCCAAGAAAGTTTCCAGGGAACCATGCAAACCTCGCGTCTTTGCGGGATGCAGAGTGGTTCAGGAAGACCGTTCAAAAGCAGCTCATTGCCCAGATGGTCCGAGCAGCCACGATGACCGTGGTAAGGATCATACCTGGCACACAAGGACACTTCCTGGAATCCAGTGCGAAAAGCAGCGACAGATCGACAGGAGCACAGGTGCGGACATATTCTACGCACACAAGATGCTGCCAATCCAACTCTCGGCTGATTCTTGGCGGCCAAGGGGCAGAAAGTTCCTACGGCCCCAGACAAACGAAGCAGCGTGTCCTTGTCGTTTGCTGTGCTTGGAGAATCGAAACTGGCTTAAGGGTCTGGTGTGGAGAATCCGACTGAGTTTAGGGGACGAGAGGCATTCCAAGCAAACACACACACACACAGACACACACACACACACACGCAGACACACGGAGACAGAGAGGCTCAACTACCCAACGTAGATTTAGTGAAGAATACTCCAGCGCAGCTTTGTACTGTGGCTTCGCACAGCATCCATAGTTTCGGTCATGCACACGAGGCGCTAAGATAGCTGGTGGGGTACGGGGGTGCAGAATTCGCACACAATCCAACAGTCTGGGGCCACCATGCTGGTTTCCTGGGTTGTCTGTCCCCAGATACTTTGTATGCCAAGTTTATGCAACAGGTATGACTTGCGAACAAGGGTCAGGCAGGAGGGAGAGCGGCAGCACAATTACAACCGCCACGACCGATATGAGATTCCTGAACGGTTGCGGCTGCTGCACATGCACTTCAAGCCCAAGCGCAAACAGGAGCAGCCTTTGAAGGGTCTCGCTTGGAGCTCCGAGAATGAGCTGGGCGAAGACAGCCAACTGCAAGGCAGTGTCATGCTTGTTCAGTGGACCCTTACATGCCACATTGACATGTTCCGGTCCAACCCGAAGCGATGGAATCATTCTATGCCTCCGAGCCGACGACGCCCAGATATGACACAGAGAGGCCGAAGCTGTAAAGAAGCCTCACAGGACCACAGAAATGCAAAGAAGCGCATTCGGATGCCTGGTGCTACGGGGTGCGGTGGCTGTCAGGCGGCATCCAACACAAACGAAAGGACTGTGACTAGACATGCACCAGTCTAGACTCGACATTTAGCACCGAAAGCAAGCCACATGAACATCTCCAGCGCATACCTCAGGTGATCTTGCGAAAGCTGCCAGCCAAGCCTTTCGAAACTGCTTCAGGCACATGTACGACTGCATGTCGAGTGGCGCACCAGGCTTACCAAGAACTGAGGCAACCATGTTAGCATAAGACCTCAGCTCCCATACACCCTAAAATCAAAAGACTCTGAACACCTGATCCTCAGTGGTCTGCTCCCTCACCAGAAACTGCCAAGCACAGCTTGGAGAGCGGCCCAGCATCGGCAGCCCTGGGAAGCGAGCGGCACACCTCGTCCAAGAGATAGAGGTTGTAGATGCTCCTGAGAGACAACCCGCAGGTTTCGGTCTAAAGTTTAGGGTCCTGCAGTTTGTTCCCTTCCGCTCGGTGCAGGTAAGGCGCACGAAGAAGAAGGTCAACAGAAGCGTGCCGCTCCTTAAACCCCACAAACGGTGAAGGTTCCCCCCCCCAAGAACTGACCGCCGGGTTGCTGGAGCCATCCCACGGAGGCCGTCGTCCATGGGAGGGTCAGCGCACCAACTCCAATGGTTGAAAGAACCTCAGCTGCTTAGGTGCCAAGCGACACCGCATCCGAAGCTGAGACAACCCTTAGGGGCAAGGCACCCACTTCACACTGTAGGCAAACCGAGCGAAGCTCTGCGGGCTGAAATCATGACCGGAACCCACCCGTGTGAACCCGACTTCTGCAAGCTGCACAGACCTGCATGTCGCTGTTGGTGGAGGATCATAATTACAGCCACTGCAGTGCATCAGGCAAAGAAAGACCTCCCCGCAATAATAGGCCCACCAGAGCACCAGGTTGAGAGAGCTTGTGCGCACACTCGCACCTTGCGACAGGGCGTGACATCAACGAAAAGGAGTTGTTGCAGGCTTGTGTCTGTCAATATTAAGCTCGCCGTAGACATCAGTGCGGTGTGGCCATGTGGAGAGGGGCCTCTGCCGGTTGTTTCGATAACAACGCTCTGTTTGTGCACCAGCAGTGTGCTGTAGGCAGACTTCACGTCGTCGAAGTTCTGGGAATCGCGGGCGATCAGCAGCCCCACTGACGACATGGTGATCCGGCGTCGACTTTACTGGCGCTTTGACTGCCGAATGGGGTTCCGATCCAACTTAGACTTTGGCTGTTGGGGGAAATGGAGCTGCAAACCTGCCAGGCTTAAATTGTTCTGCCACTTGTTCCGTAATCACGCGACTTGACTGTCCCGCGATGCTCATCCTATTGAGTTGGGCCTGAATCTGCTGAGACATTCAGCCGCAGATCGTCGGGCATGGGAAACGGCTCACGACACAGATTCGTAACAAAGGCAACACCAGCAAGTTGCGCTTTTTCTTGCTAGTTGCTATCATGGTCCTGCCAAAAATCGAAGGAGATGACTTCCCTATGTCAACTGTCGTTTACACATGCTATGGGAGAGTGGTCATGGCCTAGTTAGTTCAGACGGGTAGTTCAAAGCACAGTCCGCGAGGCTCAGTCCGTGCTCTTCTATGCCGCTTGTGCCTCAGAAGTAAGGCGTTCATCGCGACCCCTTCGTTTACTGCATGTGAGGCTGTGAGAGCATACGAGTGCAAAAAGCAGGTCCAGCAACTTGTCGGTGGACGGCGTGGCCCTTCGCCATGTAGCTGTCGGATCTGTGAATACAATCACTTGCCGAAGAAGGTAGTGTCGACCTCCGTCGGAAAGAGTTTGCAACCCGAACCCTCCGAGGCTTTCTACGGGTTCTGAAGTTGCGGTCAGACATGTGCATGTCCTCGCAGTCGCTGCATGTCTTTTTCATGTTAACCAAGCTCTTTGACGACAACTTTTCATTTACATGATTACCACGGTCGAGTGCTCCCTGTATGCCTAGGGCCTCAATTTCGGTATAGGAGTCAGAATCACCGCAAAGCAGACATGATATCTGGATATATCTGGTCAAGCAGCATCACGAATATAGGCCGCAAAATACGGGTCGATGGTCTTGATGGAAACGTCCTTCTTCACAGGCAGACCTTTCAGCGTGTCCTGGGATACGAGACCCGCAAGTGCAGATCCTGCAGTTGAAACCGAACCACCCCAGCACTTTGAGCACACACACACACACACACGCACGCACGCATCTATGTATATACCTTATATATACATATATATATATATATATATATATACATATATACATATATATATATATATATATATATATATATATATATATATATATTTGGCACAGACTCCACTTCCAGGAAGGTCACCTTTGTTTTTGCCTGACGTGGCAGTGGACTGACTCTGCCAGCACTGTCTAGGCTCAGGACACCAGCCTTGGCCAGCGCTGTCTCGGCCTCAGTCAGCTCTCAAGAGCTTCCAAGGGTCTGCAGAGGCTTCGCCATGTACATTACTGACTTGAAGTGACTTGGGCATTGGCGGAAACCTTCGAGATGGCCGGGGCGAACTCCGCCGCCCCACCGCGGTAGCTCTTCACGGCCTCGACATGCCGACGCAGGGCCACCAAGCCGACATGTAGCCTCTAGCGACCTAGCGTTCCCTGTGGGCTCCCTCGCACTCATCCTTTTGCGTGCCTTGAAGATGGTCGCGCTGCCACCGATCGGAAGGCGCTTAAAGACGTGAGACATGACCTCCTGCAGACTGCTTCGGCCCCTGCCCTCCAACTACGATTTAGTCTTTTAGTCTTAAGGCGAAGGTGCCAGTTGGGCCTTCCAGCAATCTCGTTTGAGGAAGCGCTTGGCTGCCCAGCCCCAAAACATCCCGAGACATGTCTATACGTGTACTTCTCCTGAACCCCTGCCAGGTGGTCCTGGCGAAAGCTACCCAGTCAGCTCCTGGCCTCCGACTCCGAGGCTTCGAGGCTCAGATCGCGCGCGCGCCAGAAGCAGACTTTTCAGGAGCTGCTGAGCCTAAAATGGTTGCGGAAACCACCCAGCTCCTTCAGATGCACAAGCTGTCAAAAGCAGGCTTACGGCTTGTCCCTCAAACGGCTGCCGCACTACAAGTACCGCAACAGGTACATTGCAACAATCCGAGCTTTTGGCTCACTGACAACAGAAGGCATGTTGGAGAAGACGAATGCTGAGAGGGAGAAGATGAGTACAGTACGACCATGCGGACTAGCTCTAGTGCGGTAGCAGGCAGAAGTGTGAGGCAAGTGACAGGAACCGACGAGAGGCCACCTCACCCTTGGCGTTCTTCTCCTCTGCGCCCTTGAACCTGCAGCCAGTCCCGCTTTCTAAAAGTGAAGAATGGGCACGAGATGGCCAGCAGAGCATGGGCCAGCATGCTAGGGTTCGGACTCCACCTTCTCCTGGCAAGGAGTCGCTTGGAGCCTCCGGAGCCTCCCTCACATCTCCGGTCTTCCCCTCTCTGAGCATCACTTTCAGTCCTCGTCATCTGCGACTTCTTCGACCCCCTCTTTTCGGTACTGCAGGTTGAACCTGACGTGCTTTGATGCCAGCTACGGCGCCGCGACTACGATCCAACCGAGACAGCACGCGCGACGACGCACCTGATGGGGCCATTGAAATCCAGCTGGATCCTGAGCTCGGACATGATCCCGTGAAGAACTGCTCACAATGGGCACCTCGTTTTGTACATTTCTGCCTTGCATCGTGCCTAAAGCTCACTTGCAGTGTCGCACACTCTTCGGCAGAGCCGCTCCGATGCTAAGAGCAACTCTGACAGCATTTGGCTGTGGAGAGCTTTCCTGAAGTAGCAAAACGTCCTGCGAGGAAACCGGTCCAACAGTTTCGGGTCCGTGAAAATGTTGGGAGCCAGATATCACAGCGACTGCAGGCACAAGGATTGTGCCGCCGCAGATGCAAGGACAAGATTTTCGAGTTCTTCAAGTCTTTACACCGGACCGCTAGCGAGGACACACACTTTTCATGTCCTCGCTAGTGAAATGGCGTTCCATCTTGAAGCACTCAGAACTCTTGTCATCTTCGCAGGCGCAACGCTTGACTTCCTGAGGCATTTGGCACTGAATCATGGTGGTTGTCGGCAGCGGTCTGCGGTTGCACATCATGTCATCCACTGACAAGATTGGCATGTCCGCTTTGCAAACTGCTCGTGCACGATCTGATCTAAGCTGGAAGCTGGAAACTCCGCTTTGCCGAGGTATGCGTAGACAATGCACTGGATTTCTTCACACATGATAGCATCGAGTTTGCAAAACTCCCTGTCCATCGTCGCATGGGAGAACCCTGTCACTCCGACGTGGGTCCGAGAGATGTTGAAATGGTGCAAATTTCTGAATGTCACGAGAGTGCGTATGCTCGAAGCTGATCCAGCTAAGAGGGGCTCGAGGCCCGTGTTCTCTGTGGCTCTGCGACACCTTTTTCTGGGTCTCCACGTCACAGTTCCATGACCTGCTTCAGCATTTCGCGGCAGTGTGGTGCTGCTTCAGCACGCTTCGAAGATTAGATAGGCTCTCGCAGCTTGTGGATAGGGCGGCCGCCGCTCCGAGCGTTTCGACGGCCGCAGATGCACTGAGTTGAGTGGTGTGGCAGCCCGTGCAGAAGCAGAAGCAACAGAAACAATGTCATCCTTCGACAATGGAGACTGGTGCTCCGCCATTCTGGCTTCAGGTTCTAACCAGATTGAGCCACAGTGCCTTCATCCAGCCTCCTGTCAGATCGCAGGAGTTCACCTGCTTTCTCCTGCAGATGTTTACCAGAGCTGAGCCTGCGGCGTTCCACACTGATGCTTTCTCTTCATCGCATCCTGGAGCCTGTGCTTTGCTGCCGGACGGTTCTGCAAGGCCGCTGTATGTCTGTCTCGCTGTCGAATCTTCATCTAAACCTCGCGTGCTGCAGCATCAGACACCTGTTTGTGCATGCAAACCTGTCATGCTGTGCTGCAGACACAGCAAACCACTCCAGCCAAGCTCATCCCCAAAACCTCCCACGCACTGGCCTGATGTCAATCTTGGGACCTCGCAGCACGGTAATTTCAAAGGCGCTCTCCATGCAATCTAACTTCCCTGCCCGAGGGGTCAGAGGCAAGCCTGTCGAGTTTGCCTTTACTACTTGTAATCACTTGCAAGTTGCTGAATTGGCGCTTGGTCTCAGGATTCAGCATCTTGCATAAAGGAACCCTCAATTCCGATGCTGGATGCTCAAGTTCCAGGTTATCAGCATAAATCGCGTTGAGTTTTGACGCACGTCGCTGGCGAATGCTTTAGGTCAACTACTCTATCTACTCCTGACCGTCGAGACGCCCACATCCGCGTTTTGTCTCGAGCGGCGTCGGTACACTCAACACTCAACCTGCAAACCTTAAACTACCCTGAGACACTGAAACCCTGAACTTTCAAACCTACTATTAAAAAAAAGACCAAAACTCAAACCAAAATCCCAGAAGCCCTACAACAGACCCTGCACGAACTGTTTAGCCCAGGCAGCCGTAGAAGGCGCCATCGCCAGGGTTCAACGACCTGAGAAAAATTAAAGCGACACGAAGTGGTCCAAAATTTGGGGACATTGCGGGACAAGATGGGCCAGTATGCAGAACAACACTGTGGGCACATAGAACCTAGGTTTACACTTGTATTACTATATTACTTCATCTAGGTGTGTCTGTCTGTCTCTGTCTGCCTGCATGCACCCGTGTGCGCAAAAAGCGATGTACATGCATGTGTGTGTGTGTGTGTGTTTGTCTTTCTCGCCTTATTCTTTAATACCATAATACCATTGTACGCCACTCTGCATCATCTACTCATGAGAAGTGGCGAGACGGTACCTTCAGCAACTGGGCGCCTGGCCACTCTCGGCCAGACTCATCTAAAGCGGCCTGTCCAATTCTAAGGCTCTGAGCAGCACTTCGAAGAGTCAGAATCGCGTTGTGGAGTCGCTCCCAGAAAACTCTTCGCCTTGAGCTGGACCTCTGCGTTGTCCCAGATTTCCTTGGAGCCCAGCGCCTTCTTTGGCCTGGTATTTGGACATGGGGGGCAAAGATGGGCAAAGGAGCTCCGCAGAATCTCAGGCCTCGTGGAAAGGGCGTAGCTGGCCTAGGGCTGGACATTTCGCGGCACGGAGCGGCCTCTCGGGGCCCCTGCCTTGAATCCGAAAATCTTGTACACAAAGTCTAGGAAATCCAAGGCACCTAAAGTACAAAACGCGCACAGGTGCAAAGAGTGACAAAGCACACCCCCAACACTCTCCCGACGCTCCCCTTGACCCGGGCCTGACACCTCAGACTTGATCTGGTCTGGGCGACAGAAGATGTGCGCATCCTCAGGAGCTCTACATGCATAAGGGCGGGCAGAGATGATGGCCGGCGTTCCGGGCACCGCACATCTTGCTGAAATCGCCGGACACGCGTTAAGCCCGTGAGAGCTCCCGAAGCCTTTCATGTTGGAGGGGCCGTGCTCAAGATCACAGGCCGCTTGAGAAACCAGCAGAACTTTTCGAGAAAACATGGCGGCAGGGCCTCATTGCGATGCAGGACACCGAAATCAGCAAAGCGGAGTGGCAGCTCCTGCGAGAAGAAAGGAGAAAGACAATAAAAGCCGGGGTTGCTCTATGCCGCGTTCATGCAGCATCCTTATTCTCAGGAATCAAGCCGCAAGCAGCGAAGCAGATAGTGACGCTGCTCTACTTTAGTAGCATCTTGCACCCTGCCTTGTAGCTCCTGACCCGCGCATCGAACATGAGGAAATGTCCAGGGCAGTTCATGGGCTTCAGCATCCACCTTGGTGCTTTCAAGGGATTCCCACACATCACCTCACAAGCTCGAGAGCTCGGGCTGCTGGCTCTTGCTTCTCCACATCCAAGCTGTACATGTCATCCTCCCGGGCACCGGCTTTGCTGGATGGCGCAATGTGCTGCCGGAACAAGAACGAGACATGGTGCAATCTGCCTTGTAGTTCTGGTAGTGTCCTGACGTCATGAAACATCGTGCGTCGTACCTCACACAGGCCATACACAGGCCACGACGACACGGTCTTAATCAATATCGCTTGCAGAAACAAATAAGCTTAGCCGACCCCATAGAGTGGTCGATTGAGTCAACGAAAAGTTGCTGCTCCAGCCAAGGCGCATGTTGGGCGTCACGACTTCCTGTCCGTCCAAGTAGCGTCTAGTAGCTGATGGACGCTCCGGAAACTTGACACGATGACTTGCATACCTATAGTGCCCTTCTACATTACTCAGTCGCACAACAATTCATATCTTTGAGACTGCGGTTGTTTCACCGAGTGACCTAGTGGCCCCTCCCGAGGATGACCGGTGCATACGGACAGATGGCATCGCAAGCCGCATCTCTACACGAGAAGGCCAATACCGTGAACTGGTTTTAATACATATTCCGACCACAGCGGGCATTGTGCACGCTGACGCCGGTGAAAGCAGAGACTGCATGCACCGTCTAGGCATCAGGCCTAAGAAGAGCAAGAGCAACCGTAAGGGTAGCTGCGCAGGTTTCTTCCAGCCATTGTGGATGGCAGGCTGCCCCTACACAACATCATCCCCCGTACTACTTGCTACAAGCTCTCGCTGTGGCTCCGGCAGAGAAGCCGCGCAGGCGATACTCCGAGCGCATGAAGTCCATGAGCTTGTTGTAGATCCTCACCGGCGCATGGTGAGACTTTCACAGCGCAGAGAACAGCGAAGCAGCCGCTCCTTACGCCGGGAGGGAACCAGAAGCAGCTTCCCGGTGACATCACCGGATGGAACCTGAGGCTTGAGAAGGGTTGCGCTTCGGCAGGGGGGGCTTCTTGCCCAAGCTCGCTGCATGAAGAGCTCCTGGGCCTTGCCGATGTTCCTGTGACGCAGGGGAAGCCGCAGTGCTGCAGTCGCGCTTCCACATTTCATTGTCTGCACTAGGGGTCTCAAGGAAAGGTGCCCGAGGTGTGTGCTGAGAAGTTGTCTTCACAACAGCTCTTCAAACGATGGTCAATTGCCGCAATCGCCACATACACAACCCCATTGGATGAGGCATACTGCATGCTGCGACGGTGCCTATGATCACGCTTTGCAGCTTCTTCCTGGAACTTCTTGTACTCCTGCGCCAATCTTGAAATTTATCCGGAGGAAGTTACCAGAGAGGAGGCTTCCCTGTCCTTGAGCAGCTTGTCGTTGGGGAATGCAATGCCGTAGAGGCGCTGGAGTGAGTCCAAGTTTTGGTCACCCAGCCTCAGCTCTTTGGTTGTTTGTTTCAACTGCTCCAATCTGGCAGCTCGCTTCTTGCCCTTTCATGTCCCCCTCCAACATTGGAACTGTCACCACGGCACAGTTACGGCTGGAAGCCACTCTGGTGGTGGCTGAGACTGCCATGTGCAGCCTTATAACGGGTGCACCGCGGCTGTGGCGGCTGTGGTTGACCCAAAATCTGTTGGCATAAACACGAAGTTGGAATGCCTCGCTCAAGGCTGAGGTTCTTCCAAGGCCCTAACTCTAAACTACCTAACTACACGAAGCAATCTGCACATCTTGCGATGAAAATGACAGGAGGTCCATCACCGAACCTCTGCCGAAATCTACTTTTCTACGGCATTAGGAGACTGCGATATCGCTCCTTCTAAGCGTCCTAAGTCCTAAGTCCTAGCTGAATTACGTCCATAAAGATCTCTGTTCTCTCGTCCAAAGATCCAGGGCATGCAAGTTGGCTCATGGCTTGTGGAGGCTGCTCGTACCATCTTCGTCGGAACGATCTCTCCACAGAAGATGCTCGGGAGGAACGCATCATCCCGTCAGGGTTTGAGTCCAAGGCCAGGGAGACAGAGGTGAGTCCCACCCAAACGATGCTGATGTACTAGCTGTACTGGCAGTACTACTCCTCTGCGTCCGGGACCCCTGGTCCATGTCAGTGCAACAGGGTACGGAAGCCTGTGAAGCCCACACGCTTGGGATGCTGCTCGAGTCGCTGGTTCTGTTGATGTTGGGGCTCGCACCTGCCTCGACCAAAAGACGGACAATGCCCGCGTCACCCAGCCGAGCGGCTTCCCACACCATAGCATTGCCTGTGACATCTGATCTGTCAACATCAGCGCGCTCCTCCTGGATGAGGTACTGAACGATATCCCAATGTCCTGAAAGCGGATGCTCTCTCATCGAATCTTTGTCGGCACCGGCCTCAAGCAACAAACGAACAACATCCATGCGACCTATCTCAGCAGCGTTCCACAACACCGACTTGCCATCCTCGTCTTTTGCCTGCACATCTGCCCTGGCCTGAAGCAAAATCCGGAGACAGCGTGTGTCGCCAAGCTTGGACACCATATGCAGAGCTTGGGTGCTCCCCATATCCTCGACGAAGTTTGGATGCATGTGCTGCAAGAGCGGTTCAGTCTCCAGCAAGACTTGGACTACGTCGAGATGGCCTCTCCGACATGCAACGCACAATGGATACTCCCCCCCGTTGTTTGCTGCGTCCATCCGGGCGCCACCGTCGACCAATGCCCGCGCAATGCCACTGTTGCCCATGGCAGCGGCGTGCCACAAAGCTGTCCTGCCGTCTTCGTCCAGGCAAGAAGACTTTGCACCCGCGTGGAGAAGGCACAAGACACAGCGCAGGCTGTCAAAGGTGGTTGCGATGTGGAGAGCTCTGCCTCGCCCCGTGTTCATTTTCAGGTCGGGGTCGACACGCCGCTCGAGAAGCGACTGCATGGCAGCAACATTATCCGTCTCGGCCGCCGACTGCATCTGCATTCGATCGTCGAATGTGGCAGGGAGAAAAGGCAGAATGACCAACTGCAAGCTTGCTGGAAGGCTCAATGCCGACAGCACATCGACATCTTGCACAACCTTATTTTCATGAATCAAGTGTTGTCGAAATCTGGACAAGCCGAGAGTGCGCATCAAGAACAGCTTCAGTGCCTCCATGGAATTGCCATGAGCCTCCATAATCGCTGAAAGGTCGTGCTCAGCCAAGCAGGAGACGACTTCACCACACATTTTGTAGATGACAAGCTCTGCATGGGGCGTCTCTTGCTGCATCTGAGCGCAGCAACAGTGCACGTTGGCACTGGGCTCTACAGCTCTGAGGCACACGAGCCACGGAAAACGACAAAAGCCAAGTGCATCCAAACAGACAGCAGCTACTCGTAGCATGCAGTTCCGAGGTGAACTGTGAACAAGGAGCCCAGTTCTCGGAACTAGCAAACTACAACCTTAACCATGCATGTCTCCGCTAGTTCTGGGCGGCATGGAGCCTCCTTTTCATAGGTGATGTTCAAGTAGGCTTGTGAACATTTTCAGATCCCAAGTGCTCTGAGCAGTGCTGCGTGTTGGCTGCAGCGCGGTATACCGGTGTACCAAGTCACACACCAATAGGCGGCAGAGTTCTTCGTCACCAGGAATGCCTGGCAGGGACGGAACAATCTCATTGTTGACACGAGGTCGAAGAACGGCTCGGAGAATCGGGAACCGAGCCATGCTATCTTTCTGTGCTTGTTGTTGGAAGGCTTTTTGTCACTTCCGCATTCACGTTAGGATTCCCTCTCTGCTTCGTTCTCTGCAGCCTTGCATATCTTCCCGATTTCCCGGCGACCGCCTTGGCCCGGTTCGTGTTTGGCAGATGAGGTCCACGGCAGAGGTCGATCAAGTCGCCGCAGCGGTAGCCTGACAAGCACGGCCAAGCAGCCAAGAACGGTTTTGGCCTTCTCCTCCCAAGAAGGTATGCTTTGGTAATCTGGGACATCCTGGGACTGTCGGCACCGTGGCTCCTATCTGGTACAAGTGTCAGCCAAGTCAGCCAGAGTGACAGCTCGTGAGAGCACCATCTGGAACCTGCACACTGGACTGTTGACTTCCAGACTTAGACCATGCTGAAACGCACTGACTACACGATAGTCGAAGCTGACGGACCAACTAATGGAGTTAACTGCCTGCTTGTCCCTTCTGGCAGTTCAGTGATCCAGTTATACTGAGCAGCCGTTCTTCAATCCGCCATGGCTGCGGCACAGCTCTCGCTCGGACCTGCCTTGTTCGTGATCAGCTGCACCTGACCAGAACAGTTGTGCTTCACGTTACAACTTTCATCAATGCGTAACGCTGGTGCTTCCACGCGGCCGCTATCTCTGGAAGTGACTTGTTGTCATTTCACGGTCCCCCGCTTCGCTGACGTTAGTTATTCAGCTTCAAGGCCACTACTAATTGCCAGGTACCAATGCACCGGAGACTCCAGAAGTCCATGCAACATAGCTCGTGATGTGGCTCCCAGGTTTCTACATACACATGCAACACCTCTACGCAAGACAGCATCAAAAATAACGAAACACTCATCACACGAAGGAACAATGCAAGCAAAGCAGGGAACATTGGAACACCAAGAACGGAGTGACATTGCAAAGGTAGCCCACCAGTGCTCCTGCAATCCTGAAAGATTCCTTGTGCCGTACCAGTGGCACGCCCGGGACCTGTACCGGGCCACCCCGCCTTGAATGGATTCTCCTTGAAAAGCTCCAGAGCCTTCACACAAAAGCCCACGTCGGGCCAGGTGCAAGTACTTCCATGGACCCTAGACTGCGTGGCAATGGCATGACTGAGCTTCTGGGTCGCGTCTTTCGGAGTACAAGTTGAAGCTGAAACTGAGCTCTACATCTACATCCCAGATGCCCTCATCCAATGCCCAGACCCAGACTCTTTCATCCCAAGCCCCCGAAAAATCTACAACCTAAGTCCTGAGCATCCGAAAGGGTCTGCGCTCCTTTGTTTTGTCGGTTCTGACTGAGTGAGCGTCGAGTTATCAGATGTCATAAGTAACTAAGTATTCGAGTATGTCAAGGTGCGACGAAATCTGCATAACTGACTTTTTGCTTTTCGTGGCCTCTTCCTTGGAGACGACACAGCGCAGGAATGGCTGCGACTCCTGCTGATCGGGCCGTCTCCCTCTCTCTCTCTCTCTCTCTCTCTGCCTTTGGCGGGGAGTTCCTGTCGCACTTGTGACGAACAGAGCTGTGGATCCACGCTTCTAGTCGAGTCAGAACACATCCGGCACCTTGGAAATTTGCTGTGCATGGCCCTCAATGGAAGAGAAGTCGTTGTCGTTGAGCTTCCTTTCACGGCAGCAGCGGCAGTGAACAGTCAACCTTCTAGTTTCAACCATGCGAAATGTTGCCATGAGAGCACACACGCGGAGCTCAGACTCCTTCCTTGCGGCCTGTTCTCTGAATAAGCGATAACAGCCGCCTGTCCTGTCACCGAAGAAGCCATCGTAGTAGAAGCCAGACCTCGCACGAAGGCGCGAGCATTTACCAGCACACGGGGGACATAATATTACGTACACACTGCATTTTGCATAGTGCATGTATGTATATGTATATATATATATACATACATACATACATACATACATACATACATATGTATACATATTTACACACACATATACCTATGTAATACATCCTTTCTCTAAACATGTCATATACTGCGTATAACATCTTGCATGTTCTAAATACTATATAATATGTTCTTCTTCTTAAGAAGAAGAAAGAAGATACGTGTTCACAGAGCTACGTCTTCCCAAGCTTTCGGAGCTGAGCTGCTCCAAGGCCGGGCCGATCGTCAGATGGCAGCCGAACTCCCGCTCCATGGCCTGGCCTTGGACACATAAGTATACATATACAGAAATATGTATATATATATATATATATAGAGAGAGAGAGAGAGAGAGAGAGAGAGAGAACGAGATGTTTAAGACATAGACATACAGATCCAATCTAGATCTGGCCGATTGTCGATATGTTACATGTATATGTCATATCATGTAGTAGACATTATGGAGTATATACAGTATACAGCATCCCTCACTACAACCTTCCACCTCCGTCCTCAGCAGCACGCCTGGTCGGTCTAGAGGCAAAGAGTTACTGCGTGCGCTGCAGCCCCTTTTCTGTCACAAGCGCAGCTTCCGAGGATCCATTCCGCCTCGCTCCAGGAGCTGCATCAGCCTCTCAGCTTCTCTGCACTTCATTTGACCCGAAGCCCAGCTACAGTACAAGCGGGCGCTGCTCGGCATTGAGACTACCAGTGCCGGGCCACAGGGCAGCAGGAGGAGAGTGTGGCTTCTGCTGGCTTAGCTTTCTTCATGCCTGTGCCACTCCACTGCCAGTTTCGCTGAAGACCCCCGCAAATCCTCGGTTGCAGACTACTCGGGCTGGAACTGCAACAGGTTTCCATGAATGAGGTTCTCGTAGTGGGAACACAAAGCCGTTGACGCCAAGCGGAAAGTGAAAGCATGAACACATCCGAACAGGCTGGAAGTGCCAGGGCCGTCGCAACTTGCTGAATATCTTTGACCTTAGATGTACAAAGCCGAACATCCTGCGGCGCTTGCACGATCACGGGGCTCCCGCATGCAGCATCGATCGCACAACAGCTTCGACTCCGAGCAGGCTCAAGGCCTCAGTGGTTGGATGGGTTTCGACATTGGATGCTCCAACATTGCAAGCTATTCCTGGATCTTTGCACAGTGGGATCCTTACATAGTTTAATCATGGTGCTAACATGGCTGCGAGAAGTAGTTCCGAAGTAGCGACTAGTGACTAGTGGGTGTCACATATCCCTGAAGTGCCATGGCTGGAAGAGGGGAGGAGCACCGAAGAGTCTGATTTTCTTGCCCAGGCGCGACATTCCCAGCCAACCTCAATGACCTGCAACGCGAACATTTGGGTTTCGGGTGTGCGAACCGCCGCTCCGTTGCAGTAAAACCTTCCTCGGTCTTAGTTGAACCGTTTGATTCAGGGACAGCGATGTCGGTGGCCTGAGCAATGGGAAGCGCGGCACAGCGGCAGCGATGGCCTGTGCTGCGGCATCGTCCAAGCTGGCCTCCGATGACGAGAAAACAACGCAGTATCACGGGTGGGCGGGCAACGAAGCAACGGCAGGTCGCACCTCTGAGGCATCCAAGACTTTGAGTGTCTCACCCAGGCCTGTCACAGGCCGTACAAAAGGTGGATGTGCTTCCTTCACATCAAACAAAACCCCTGAACTCTTCACCGTCTTCTAACGCGCACTGATACGGGGTGCAGACTGATCTCCGAAGAACGGATCGCGCCTGAGAGGAGTGATGAGAAACCTTTCCCGAGTGGATTCTTTGGAAGGCTCAACTCCTCGCGACGCGTCGGGTCGGGCCGGGCTCTTCAGGAGCCTATGGCCTATGCACACAAGTGCTGAGGTTGCAGGAGACCAGATCTTTGTGGTGCAACACCACAACATGCAGATCAAGCATTCAAGTTGTTGGCACTTCCCCACGTTTAGTCCGAAGAGCCGGCTTCAACAGAAACAAGCACGAAGTTATCCAAAGCTTGGTCTTCTGCCCTGTCCCTCAACTCGGGGCAGTTTTGGAGGCCAGCGCCCAGCGCGGTCGCACCTGAAGGGAGGGCAGGCTACGATCTCTCACAGCAAACACGAAGAGATCGCCTGCAGCACCAATGTCATTGTCCTGAGCCGTGCAGCCGTGAGGGCAAAAGCAGCTGCCGTGATGGGTTGGGCATTTGCAACACTGCTCGCCAAGTCTCATCCAAGATGATGGTCTGCAGCTTCCGCCCACATCCAAGCGCGAAGGCATTCGCAAAAGCCACGGCACCGCCGTTGCCTTCTCATTCTCGGGCTACTTTGTGTGTTTCTGGCCGGAAGATGCGAAGGATGTTATAGAAACTTCTCTAGATCCAAGCAGCCGATGCCACAGCCCCAGATGCTCAGCTCCTGGTCTCGGCAGTCACAGTCAGTCCGAAGCACAGCGTGTTAATTTTAAGCTCCACTCCACTCCCGGAAGCGGCTCCTCGAGGTGTGGCGGATCGATCTGTGCATGAGGCGCCTCGCAGCTTCGAGCAGAGCTATGACTGAGAGGAAGCTGAGGCAACTCTGTCTAATTATCTCTTATCGCTTTCGGTGCACGAGCCGATGAAGACCCCGAGTTAGTTGGTACAAGTAACACGTAAAAACCCACCAACAAAAACAAGTACGGAATTCCCAAATCCTCTAGTCCTGGGTGGCTCGAGACTCTCGTCTTCTCGCTCGGCTGCACCTGGAAAGCCATCTCCAAGCCTTCTCCAATCGCACGAGCATTCACCTGGAGCTGAAACGATGGCGAAGCACTCTGCTGCTGATCTGATGAAAAAATATTCGAACTGCGAACCATGCATGAGAATCCTTGTCTACTTCGGCTAGGAGCTCTTCCAAGCAAAGAGCTACCGACAAACGACTTTGCCTCTCCAATGTGGTGGAAGGTGTACCGCATGCTGCGAGGTCTCGACCTCAGGGATAACACGGCTTAGAGGTAATGTCTGCTCGCTCAAGCTGCGATCTCGGGAAGTGTATGCCCCAGGAGCTTCGGACCCTTGATTGCAAGCTTGCTGAGGGTCCTACCACATCAGATTCTTGCGGAGCTCAATGAATTCTGTGTCAATGGGCCTCGGATTCCGAACACCGCCCATGCACAACCATCTACTTGCCCGGTCATGTCAGCCGGCCGGTCGGCGCAATGCTCGCTTTTTTGCCAAGTTTCTGTGGCAACTCGGACAGTTCCGAGGCCTCGCCAGGGCAAAGTGTCGTGCCAACAAGACTCCAGGACGGACTCTTGGGTGATCCTTCTACTGGTTGCGGTGTTGCGCACAATGCTTTGCTGGGAGCCCACTCGTAGCACTGAAAGCATAAGCCGCCTCTCAGCAGGAATCATGAGTTACTAGGCAGTGACGTGTGAGGAGAGATACGACGATAACAACAGTGCCTCTGATGACAATGAGAGTTACTGTGGTCTATGCTGTCGATGATGGGCATGATGTTGGTGGTGCTGGTGGCGGTGCTGGTGGCGGTGCTGCTGGCTGTGGTGGAACTGAAGCGGTGCTGCTGATGATACTGTTCTGGTATTTACGGTATCTAGAATAGGACATAAATCGCCTGTTGTCCGCTTAGAGGGGCGATTGCTACTTCGAGCTGCAACCGTTCTCGGCCTTCGATCGCGCTCTCTCGACAATCTCAGAGTCACGTGGGATGTCCGTCTCCTACCGGCAGACATGTATAGCAACCTTTGCCTTCAGGAACTGGCATGCAAATGCACGCATTCGTTCGGCAGTGCTTTGGAGGATACATGCAAGTGAGGGCTCCAACCAAGTTTGCATGAGCATGTATGCGGCATGCGTATAGTGCATGATGAACTTATAGACACACGCGTGCCCTGTTCTCATTCTTTGTTCTGGGCTCCAACAAATGTGTCTGCGCTCCTCCAGGTCAGCCCGGATCATGCTGAATGGCCTCAGTTAAGCGACAAGCGGAAACCCGGTGAGGACACAAGGTTTAGGGAGTGAGGTTTAGGCGGTTTCGGGGGCCGGACCCAGAAGATGCGATGAAGGCTGGATTCATACACAGCGCTTCAGGGCTTAGGGTGCAAGCCTCCCAACCAGATGTGAGATGAGGAGTCGCGTAGCTTGTGGCTCATGCAAACAGCGAACAACGGCGAACATATTTCCGGCTCAGGGGTACGTAAGGAGATGCCCTTGGCACTGCAAGGGTTCCGAGAGCTGCATCCGCATTCGTGCAGGGAGACAGATCATGCCTTAGCAGCCTAAGTGGCTCATCCTCCTTGATCAGAAGCAGCCACATCTGGGGCACGCTCCCCAGCACTTCCTAGGTCCAGCAATATGTTCACTGAACTCGGGCTTAGGCTTAGACCTCAAGCTTAGCATCTTACGGAAAGGCTTGGCTGAAGCGTTCTGCTCAGTCGAGGCATCAGTTGAAAACTTGCTGTCTGGCGTCTGCCATGAGCTGACCGAAGCGCTCAGCATTTGCCATGAGCTTCTGGAGCGTCGCAGAAGCCCAGGCAGCCTTCACGCCTGCCGTTTTCAAGGCATGTACTACAAAACGCCACACCGAAATACAAGTACTAGTACCGGTTAATGGAGGTCTCCTGCCTGGAGCCTTGAGAAGCACCACGGCCCGGAAATCCGCCTCCGGGCTCTTGGTTGTCTGACCTCTTCGGCAACGCACCGCTGTGCTGCGCCGCTGCAGACAGCTCGGGTCTCGCGCCTGTGATGCTGTCCTCGGAGGCCGGTGAGGACGGCTGCGAGGAGGGAGGCTCCTGGCGACGCTGAAGCCCGAAGAACGCTCTTCGCTTCGTTGGCGCGGCTTGCACCCTTGCGCCATCTTGCACCAGTCCTGCGCCGGGCCGTCGTAGAACTTCACTTGCCTTGACACGCTGCGGTGGCTGATCATGATGCTCAGAGGAATTGGTCGCGGTAAGTTTGGAAGCTGCAAAGGCAGACAAGAAGCAAAACAAGCTTTCGCCGATATCCCCTAGTGAAAAGTGGATTCGCTGCTGCTGTGGACTTGCTTTATTCATGCTGCCACGGGGCACTCGCTTGTCTGGAACGTCTGCGATTGCTGCAAAACCTGCTGTTGAGGCAGCAAGCGCAACATGCAAAATACGGAAGAATTACACGGCTGATCTACGAGCAATGGGAGCTTGCTGCGTGCCCTTCAAAATGGCAATCGGGGAACCGACTCATCAGTAAGTGCTACAAGAGCGACATCTGTGTTTTGAGTGGTCTGCGTTTCACTGCGTGCTGCACACCCCCCATGATTCATCTACGACTGGCTTCCATCTTCCAATTCTGCGCCTGGGTGGTCACTCTTGTAAAGGCACGATGGCAGTTGCAATGCGACATGCTGGTCACCATCGTTCCAAGCCTCACACTGTACAAAGCCTGACATGACCTTGTCAGACAACAAGACCGGACTATGTCAAGTGTTTCTGCTTGGTGTTCGAGCACAGCGGAGGGTTGCTAGACGTCGTGCCCACATTCCCAGTTTCAGCATGAACACGGAGCACAGAAAGTGGAACTTCAAGTCGAATGGGAGAGCAAGCAAGCCGCGTGTCTGTGGTTGCTGCAGTGTGGGCTGCAGCACAAAGTCCTGGAGCATGGACCTAAAGGCTTTGCTGGAAGGCACTGCGTGCCCGCCTGCATGCATGAAGAGACTACAGTCTGCGCACCTAGCTGCAAGCATCACGCTGCATCTTGCAGGAACTCGGCTGTCCTGGCGACCGAAGACATGCAAAGTCCGGATGTGAGGAGAAATCCGTTGCCACGACAGCGGCTTGGCCGGGAACCCGCCAATGAGGATAGCAAATTGGATTTGTCTTCGTATTTCTTCATCATGCATTGCTGCATGGATGAACACGGCTCCCTGACTGAAGCCAAGGAGACCATCAACCCCGCCCACCCTGCGGATTTCGTCGCGAAGAGTCTCCAAGCTCGCGCCCAAGCCATGATACGCAGAAGATGACAGCATGTTGCTAAGGTCTCCTCGATCGGTCTCATTGTACCAGAACCAGCAACGATGCTGCCGCTCAGACAAGCTCTTGCCAATGTCAGGCAGGCGATGTGGAGCGGAAAGGAACTTCCAAGTCACACCGGACAACGTCTTCATGAGTGGCATGCAGACTTCCGACATGCGCTCCCTGCTTTGCCCAAATCCATGAAGACACAAGATTCGAACGGGAAGTGTGTGGGCTGGAGAGTGCATGGCGCGGCACATCTGCTCGAGGCAAAGCTTGCGGTACCTGCCTCGGCAACCCGTTGCAAGCCTTTGCTGCCCAAGCACTTGCCGGAGACTCCGAGCTGATGGAATGGGGGAGAACGATAGTGGCGAAACCCAATGTGGAAGTCGGACTAAGTCCTGCAATGATAGATGCCCTCAACTTCAAGCCGGCAATCCTCATCATGATTATCATCATCATCAGCATCATTGCCCCAAGCCCTAAAACCCTGTAACCCCGAAGAACCCTGAAACCCTAAAGCTCTGAAACCCTAAAGCCGCTAAGAACTCTTACGGATTTGCAGCTCAGCCTGAAACGGCCGAACGCTCCAGGGAGGCGATCTTCCTCTCGGGGAACTCTTCCCCTCGGCCGTTTTGGAGTTTGGCGGTTTAGGGGTTTAGGGGATTTGGGGGATTAGGGCTTAGGGGTTTAGGCTTAGGGATTTCAGGGGTTCAGGGTTCAGATGGATACTCTTCCAGGATGTGCTGAGCCATCAACTTGCGAGGCCGTCCTCAGATGCTTGCGCTCCCTGAGACTTCCCTTTGAACCCTGCATGTGACGTGGTACAGCATGTGTCGCAACATCTCCTCTATCCGTTGCCTCTTTCTGCAGGCTCGGCGCAGAGTGCAAGGACAAGTTCGTGAAGTGGATGGTGAGCTTCACGGCTGCCTCCGCCACACCGTACCGAACCAAGTGGTGGATCACTTGGCCTGAGCTGGGCAAGCTTACCCCACGGGGAACGGTAAGATCCCGTTCAAGGCCCAGCCTGACCATCGATTCACGAAGTAACGGCGTCCCCACACTGGATCGATGGCCTCCCGCCAATCGCGTGTGTAGATGCTCTTCGCCTGGAGCGCAGAAAGAACTCTGACCATTGCCCCTTCTCTTCGTCGGAAACCCCCGACAGATGGCATTGTTACGCCGGCCAGCTACACTGATGTGAAGGCTTTTGCTTGGAACACACAGGCCTCCAACTCGCCCAGTTCTTTTAACCTCATGTGCGACTTCAAACAGGTCGTCTGCTATGCTTGCGGAAGCAAGTTCCTGTTTGTTCCAACGGACTCACAGCCGCCAAGCCGCAACGCTGGCAACTCTGCGAGCTCGTCTTCCTCCTCATCCTATCAGCCAAAATCACACATCATCACCATCACACTTCAGATTCCTGATGTCACTCACTCGGTTCGGTCACATGCTTTGCTCGAGGTATCTTTCTGCACACCAGCCGGCCTCAGCGACCGGCACCTTGGAAGGTCGCGATATCGTCTCCTGACAAGACATGTATGTCCCCTGACTAAGCCTGGCTGCAAACCACATGATGCGGCTGTGATTTAGCAACAGCTGCCGCTCAGCTGCCACAGAGCTCTTCTATAGCTTCTATTGACAACTTCCATACGTCAAGTTTCATCGCCAGAATGCTACAGCTACAGCAGAAACACGTTCCCCGACTGCCGTTGAACGAAGGTCCTTGGACAGCTGCTCTTCAACCTTCGATGCTTTCTGACGCTGGTCAAGACGCCTGTCATGTCACAGGTGCTCTGCTCTGTCGGTACATCGGCCACAACAAGGACGATCCAGGCAAGTGGGTCACACAAAACACGCCTATCACCAACCATGGGATTCGTCAGATACGAACCACTATGCGCTACTCGCTGCCTGCTGTTCCTTTCCTGCTCATGCACGTTGACAACAACACCTCAACCTCCTCACCCTCCGCCTCCTCCTCCTCCTCCTCCCAACGACCATAATCATGATAATGATTCTGATGACTATGACGATGATGATATCATCACAATGCTCTGCCTTCCCTGTTTCCCGATTCTGGTGAGCATGGGCTTGGCACACTGGCTATTGCATGACAAAAGAGGATTCCACAACAAACTGCACTTGGATCCGGAGTGCCTGACTTCCTCCGGGTGCACTTGGCCGAGGAATCGCTTCCTGTGACGCAAACAGAGCCCGGAGTCAGGTGAAAGCTGAGTTTCCAAAGCTCAAGATGCGACTTCAATGCCTCAAGCAAGACCAGCCAGCTTCCGTGTAGAGATCCATCCACCCTCCTGGAAGCAGGAAAATGCAGTGACATTCCCAACATGCGGCATGCTGGCTCATGAAATTACTTGGCCGTCCTACTGCTTCCGAGTCTGTCTCTTCGATGGCTTTGATACGGACCACGCGCCCCAAGCGGCCGTCTATCTCGGCTATCTGCACCTGTGCTGACAGCAGGACTTCCGCGCCACAGGGAACAAGTCGTAGAACTATGCTGGCTTTCATGTGTCGACAAGGTGCCACGTCCCCGCGCTGCAGATTTCCAACAACTTGGCTGTCCGGATCTTTCGTTTCACGGAGTTGCATCCTCAGAGGGCTGAAACTTCACAGGCAGTTCTATTGAATTCAATTGACCACTTCGGGAAAGCTGTCGCAGCTCCTGGCAAAGACTGCTTCCAAGGGTCTTTGCCGGATGCCATTCACTCTCGTCCTGGACACTGGGAAATCGAAACAGGACCATGTGGAGCAACCTCTTCGAGCAAAATCCCGGCTTGAGGGCTCAGCGATCGTAAATGTGGTAGGCTCTGGAGCCCGAGATTAGCAATGATACCGAGGCCGGTCCTGCTGGTCCTCTTCAGCAATGTGGCCTCCTTGAGGCTCCACCCAGAAGTCCGTCCCCTGCGGCGTTCGCAGGCGTTCACAAGCGTGACGAGAGCAGAGACTTGCGTGTGCTGCACCTCCGTGAGCAGAGTCAGGGCTGCGCCGTCGGCGCCCCCGAGATCCGTCCATCCCAGGCCTCCAAAGAAACAGACCAAAGATCGTTTAAGAGGGAATTCTCCGAAGAACACTCGGTGGCTGGCCTGGGCTTGGGTCATCCTCCTCCGTAGCCACCACGACCCGCACGGAGCCACCCGGGGAGACCCACTGCGTGATGACCAAGGAGCCCAGAGGCCTCTACCACTTCAGAATGCGGGGGCCCTGCCGAAAAAGGGACGTTATGTTAAAAAAGAAATGGGAGAGACAGACGGGTCTTCCATATGCTCAAAACGTCCTTGCCAATTCCTTGCTCAAGGCTCATGGAGACGATGCGCCGACTGCGTTCGTCCTTCATGCGAAATGGAGCTTGGCTCTGCATTGCCAAGCGGCTCTCAAAGGCTCCTCTGCTTCGCGGATGTGAGCGTACTCCGCCTCGACCACAGCAGGCTTCCAGATCTTCAGCCTGCACGCAATCGGCTTCCTGAAGGCCCGCTGGGCCAAGATGTTGTGGGAGCAACCCCAAGCACTCGGAAGCACTGGCAGAGGGGCTAAGTAAAGACGTGGAGTCTTAACCCACCTCAGCAGCTCGTGCAAGCGAGTGATCGAAGGCGCGTGCCGGTTCTTCCAAACCATCTCCTTGAAAAGAGACTTCAGTCTGCCAGTGTCAACAAGGGGGGCCTTTCTTAAAAGTCCAGCAGACTCCTGGTAGGGCGGTAAGGCCATCCTCTGCCAGTCACATAAAGCCCTTCCGGACACCATCGAGGACAGCAGCTCCGGCAAGGTCTGAAGGTCGGAGAAGCGGAACATAGTCAGGTTTCAGGCACATGCGGCTGCCAAGGGCCCTTCGGGCCTTGGGTTGGGGCTTTGGTACAGGAACTGGTACGGGCTCCGGCCTCACTTCCCATTTCCAAGCGAAGTGGCATTTGCACTGACCCTCTCACAGCCAAGTAGCCATAAGACACCGATGCCAGGCCACACAATTGGTATGGTAGCTCCTGCAATCTGGGCTGTGACATCAGAGTCTCTGCTCCACGTCTCGATGGCCCCGCCTTTACGTCGAGCTGAGCTCTTGGAGCTGCCCACCTGCAAAGTTCGCTCGCTTCCCTGTGGGGTGGGGGCTTTTCGGCAGTTTGCGCCTCCTCCGGCAGTTCGATCTCCGGAGCCATGCTCGGCTGCTTGCGGAAGTGAGGAAAGCCCTCAGCAGAAAAGGATTCAAGGAGGAACGTCCACGGGAAGAGGCAGCCACTGTCTTGACCCCAACCCCTGCCTGCGGAGTGCAGAGGCTAACCTCAGAAGCAAAGCAAGAACTCGGAGAGACCTGAAATCTTCCCTGCCGGCTCTACGCGTCACACAACAGGCTCAAGCCCTTCTATCGCGCAATGCTGCGCTTGTGACCTCTCAGACAAAAGAGTTTTTGCCTTTCTACCAGGCTCTAAACCCTAAATCTTGCCGAGTCACCCAGCCTCCACCCTCCAAGTCCGGCAACCGAGCTCGGAACCCGAGGATCTGTGCAGCAAAGGGGATGCATAAACAGTTCCACAGGATCTGCGAGTAAGATGCGCGCCTCGATAATTTGAATAGGGCTTCGGGGTATGATACCCTACAGCTACCAGAAAGGAACTACTACTACTACTACTACTACTACTACTACTACTACTACTACTACTACTACTACTACTACTACTACTACTACTACTACTACTACTACTACTACTACTACTAGTTATGTGGGGTATGTTGTATTATCATGAGGGTGATACGGGAACAGCATTAGTAACTATTCCGACCGGTGTATTATGCGAAATTACAATGTAGTGGCGTTAGACTAAGGACTATAACGGGAAATCGTTATTGACTATTCCGACTCCAAAAGTATGCTTGAACCCTTAAGAACCCTTATAGTATGCTTAACACCCCTTATAGAACCGTCGTAGAAGCCCGGTAGAGCCTTTATAGAACCTGTACGGAACTTGCATAGAACGTTTTAACACCCAGGTAGTGCCCTGCAACGAACTGCGAATAGGGCCCCTCATGGCCTCTGCAAAGCAGCGAAGCCGGTAGCCTCTGGGGAGACGCGCCCAGGAATCGCTGCCCACATCCTGGCCTCTGGTGGTCGTGTGGGGCAGTATGACAGAACAAAATGTCAGCGCGATAACAATATCATGCCAAATTACGTTATGTAATACTATACTATACTACAATATACAATACTACATCATACGGAATTATGACATTGCAAAACATAATGCAGTATGAAAGCTGTCATATTATACAATGTCCTGCAACATAAGGTAATTTGATATTCTAACATAGCAGAATAGAATATCACATGATATAATACAATATTTGTAATATTTACATACTGCTATATACTACAATACACCATAATCTGACATGAGTGCCTGTGCAATACTCAGAGGCGCACCGACCGTGACTAGCAATTCCTCCTTCCCGAGCGGCAGGACGGCGAAGAACGGCCCTGCAAGGCAGAAAAAAGACTGCTTACGGCTCCATAGCCCGGGAGCACCCAAAATGCCGCTCGGCCTTCCAGGAACTCGTCATCCGGGGGCTTGGCACCTTCCAGAAAAAAGCTCAGAGACAAAAGCTGAGCACGGCTTCTGGGAGTGTGACGAACCCACCTGGCATCAATTGGCCCTCCACAAGCTCAGGAGGATCTTCAACTGGTGCCACCATAGCCTGTCTCTGCAGTACATACCGGAACCGCTCATGCCCTCACAACATGAAGAGGTCCGCACATCTTAATATCGTAAACAAGATCACACGAGTACACAGAGACTGCATCCCACAACACCTTCTGTGATGGCCTTCAGCAAAGGTCGGCCGTCTCGCATAGAGTACTTGACGTAGCCTGACATTGATGACCCCCACGACCACTTCCCATGCCGTGTCGTCTGTTGGGCCGAGCGCCCAGCCGGTAGCTGCATCACCACCCGGTTCCGTCGGTGGCACGAGCACAGTCGCAATGCCTCCGACTTGCTTGCGCTTCCAGTGCACTGACTCCCGCATCTGCCGTTTGTCGTTGGAACCCACCGGTCGAGACCTACCTGTGGTGTCATCGAACATCTGCGTAACGATGAGTCGCCCCTTCTCCTTCACCACATCTGGGTTGTGGTGATTGAAAAAAATTGACAACAGAAGTCTCGATCAGGAGGCAAGAACTTGCACAAAGACAGTGTCCCAGCGAGCGATGGGTTCGCCGGACAAGCCGGAATCAGCGTAGACCTCGCAGCCAGAGGCCGTGACAGCAAGTGAGCACTGGCAGGGTCCGTGGATTCGCATCTATGAGACAGGATCACATCACCGAAGCTGCACAAATCGCATGCACACCCACCAAGGCCCGCTGCGTTCATGCACCAGTCGTCTTGCTTCTGAATTTCCAGAGCTTCTGGATCAATACCTGGTGCTCGAAAAGTGCAACTTCGAGACGATCCCTTCAAAAGAGCATTCTCGACAACGCATGCTTAAGGATTGCTTAAGGCATGTGTTAGTTCTGCATTCTGCAGAGTCGCAACACAGATCCCAGCTTCTGTTCAGGAGGAGGTCGTCCAGTCCTCCAGTTCGTATGACCTGTGCCGCAATCGGGGATTGCGCATCAAGGTCTCGAATCTGTCATACGGCAAGCAAGCCCGTGCGTCTGGAGCGAGATTGCTACAGCAAATCTTGACACCAAGCCGATAACACCCACTTGGCAAGTTGGTATACTGTGACGAGCCATTCGATGCCTCGTTCACACCCCAGGTCGTTCGGCCGTTGACAGGGGAGACCTTGCTCACAACCGGTGGAATAGACTTATGAAATAGACATTGCTGCAGCTGAGGGCAAAACGTAGAGAGGGCGGTTCCACACTGGATCCATGATCTGGCGCCAGCCACCTTTTTGCAATCCGGCTGTCTGAATGGTCTCCGCCCTTCCACCAGCCCGCCGGCATCAAAATCCGTCCAGGCTCAGCCCCCAGCCAACCACAGTCTCTCGTTGCTCTTGCCTCTAGACATAAGGTCTCCCAACACAGGGGAGAAGCATGTAACTGTGTAATTGCCGGGCTGCCGAGAGGGAGGGCCAACGAACTGGAAGGCGAGCTTCCTTGGATCCCGTCAAAACGGAGCCAAGGGAAGGAAAAACCATGAAAGCATCGTTAAGTCTCAAGAACGAAGTCCTCTGCAAACGTATGTGACAAAGGAGAACCATCCGCCCAGACTCCTCTTTGACTCCGCTCTAACTCTTTGGGATCCCAAGGCTCGGCAGCTGCAACTCTTGGCCGCTGGAACGACGGCTGCCCCTGACGACGGTACTCAGGAGCTAGATACCTCGCCTTTTGATCGCAAGATCCTGATACACTTCTACTGCGAGTCCGTATCGTTCGCTTTCCCTCACCCCGTGCGCTGCGAGCCCATAAGCACTACAGTATTGGAGTCCATTACATTACACTGCAACTCGAGACACATCTATGACATTCTATATATCTGTGCCAAATCATGCCAAATCAGGGTTCAAGGTGTTCTTTCTATTGCACTGTGCCATTGCATCTTGAAGCTGCGAAAAGCGTGCCTTGAAGTACGTCGCGAGCCTTTCCTGACTCAAGGTACTCTCATACTGGTGGCCTGAGGATAGCTGTAACTGTCATGATGAGAATGAAAGCAATGATGAGGGAGAGGTCGAAAAATGACAGCAGGAACAGCTACCAGGTCACCAGAAGTCTTCCAACGGACACCAAGCTCCCTGTCCTTGAGGGGAGCTTGGATCCGCTCCTGCCAAGGGACCAGCAATACATCGCTGCTGAAGCGTGTTTTTTGTGTTGCTATCAAGGCAGCTGGGATTCCCTGTCCTCGACGGAAGCTTTGATCCACTCCTCTCAGGGGTGGACAACCATGGAGGCATTGCTGCTCTTGCCGCCGTTCGCTGTTGTTCTTGCGAGCTTCTTGTTGTCTATGATGCCTCGTACAAGTCAGTATTGATTATGTATTGTCATCATTTCCCGACTCCGCTCTTGCATGCGCTATCAGTGCAACTCCGGCTCTTCCTACTACCACCACTGCTGTGCTACTTCTGTTTACCTTGTCTTGCTATTCCTGCCACAACTCCTAGATTCCTAGATAGCTCTGCTCTGTCCCGGCATCTCACAGCGGCTCCTGACGCTCAACTTGGAGCCCGACCTCAAAGAAGGCCAGCTGCCATACGGAACAATGATCATAGCACTTGCAGATTAGTTAATAGGGGAAGTAGGAAACAAGGAAGAAATGGCGTGACGACGGTGATGATTCGTTGATTTTCAGGCCCCGGGCCGTTTGAGAAAGAGAGAAGCTGGGCCCCGGGCCTTGATGGAAGCTTCGAGCCGGCCCTGCGCGGTAAAGCTTTCAAATTCATACATATATCTTTCTTTCTTTCGGATGGCTTGTGTTCGGTGAACGCGCCACATGCAGGTAAATTCGGTGAGACAGGAAGACTGGGGCTCAAGAGACCGGTGATCGGAGGCCCTCGGCGGTCTGTACAAACCCCGCACGGAGGAGCCAAGCGCGAGCCGGTTCGAGCGCGTCCAGTGCAACAGTGGAGGCGCAGAGGCTAACAGGGTGCACTGCAGACGTCTGTGCAAATGCCCCCAAAACATCGCAACAGACTTCAAACCAGCGAATGAACCTCGATGCCGCCCCCAAAGGCAGGCTCTGGGTAAAAGGGTACACGTACCCGTTAAGCGGGGGCTCTTCCAACCGAAAGACGGCGACCTCCCCGGAAAGGACGAAGGGGAAAGGGCAAGGCGGATGCCACTCGAGGCCTGCGAAGACAGCCGCGCTCTCCCCCAGGGCGCGGGAGGTGCGAAATTCGTCACAACACAGTTGGGGATCGAGCATCAACTGGATGTCGGCTGCTGCCTCCGCAACCTCAGGTGTGGCGCCGGCTTCAGCAGCCCACATGCCAACCGTTGCCCTCAGAACTGACAGAGGCTCAACGAAGTCCTTGACGATGCACCAGGCTGTGTCACAGTCAACCCGGTCCAAAGCCCTCAAGGCTCCCAACAGCCCCCTGTGAAAAGAAGCAGGGTCAACCGCCGCAGCAGGGGCCCCCGACAGCACTCCCGGGACGCTGACGGGGAGTGCCATGGCATGCATGACAGGGAGAGACGCAGAAGACGGCTGAAAAGAGCCCCAGGACTTCCGGCACTGAACACTGTTCAGGAGGTGCCGGCGGAGACGCGCTGGCTTGGCAAAACACTTGCCGCACCCCAGGCAAAGCCGGTCACTGGTCCCCGCCATCTGAGAGGTCACAAGCCGATATCCGTGCTTCTTGGAGGCATGGCATGCCCATGCAGCTCGGGAAGTAAAGGCTAAACCACAAATGAGGCAAGCATCAGTGAAAACACCGTCGCTGGTAGCAGCAGGCGCGATGGGCGCGCCCTCCAGAGCCTGCAGACTGCGCAGCAGCGCCCGCAAGACGGCAAATCCCGACGCTCGCAAGAGGGCAAGGCCCTTGGCTCGTCGCACGAGGCCCTTGAATCGGCCCGGGGCGCGGCACATGAGGGAAGTCCACGGCTCTGGATCCGCGAGGGGGCACGGAAGATCAGTAGTACGGTGGACCCACGAGTACAACCAGGCCAAGGATTCCCGAAGGGCCCTTAGGTAAGGCAAATCCAGCCGAACCAACGCCCACAACTGATCTGGGGCACCGGCGACTAACTGTCGGAGGTAACGAAGACGCTCAACATGAAGGACTGTGTCGGCATCCGGCTGCCCGACCAGAGAGCAAACCTCGACAGTAGAAAGATGCTGGTCACTGTCGCGCGGGACAGCGAGAGTCGCCCGATACAAGGCGAACAAAGTCCGCGAGAAGATGCGAGATTCACAGGCACGCAGAGGTGGCCAGGCGCCCGCCCCGAAAGTCAGACGGGTCAAGACAAAGGTCCCAAGGAGCGAGCCCCGCCTGACAACCGAAATGCGCTTGCAACGGAAGAGCTTAGTGCGGTGCTCGCGGAAGGCAACCCACGCATGCTGGCAACGCAGCTTCAGCTCGACTGCAATGTTGCCTGAGGGGTCGATGGTGACCCCTAGGTGCCGATACGCAGGGACGAGGGGAAGGGTAGCAGTGCCCCTCCCCTCACAAAGCACAGGAACGGTGGCGTCGCCCCGGAAGAGGTCACGTTTGACTCGCTGTGCATGAGCCCCACGCAGGGAAACGAGGGCAGCTGTCTTACGCTCGCCAAAACTGAGCTCGAACCCGTGTGAGCCAAAGGCATCAACCAGGGCACCTGTCTCATTTGCCAGCACAGGGCGTACCTGCAAGGCTGAACTGGGTCCTAAACAAACCGCAAAGTCATCGGCCCAGATGATATCGTCGATCCGAGTGCCACAGGGCCCGGTCGGGGGCTCAGCCTGGTCGCCCCAGTGTCTTGCGCCGTCCCAGGGTACAGCCTTACCGGCTGAAGCAGCAGTGATGGGCGAGCGCTGAGCGTCCCTGACACTCAAGATTCTCTCAGCTAGGACTGCGAAGGAGAGATCCGCCCACGCGGACCCGGGGCGGGTGCCCCTCCGAGTCTGGACAATCTGTGCATCGCGGGCGAGTGACATCCATGTGCCCGAATGAATTTCATGTGTGATGGCTTGGAGCCAAGATGATGCCCCCTGCTGAGCCAAAGCGCCCGGTTGGGCGAGCTGAAATTCCAAATCGAGCTCAGTGCTGGCCGCTGGAATTGCGGGGAGCTGACTGTTCAGCTCCTGCGCGGTGAGCGCACGCTCGGTGCGATAATACGCGGCTGCGACGTCTGAAAAGACTATCACCGTCGACAGCTTGCAAGTGTTTCGGTGGCGCAGGAAAGAGCGCACCAGGTGCGAGCCGAAAATCACCGAGGCCCCGCGCCTGCCACCGAGTTGCAGAGGGTGCGCGACTGCCTCAAAATGCCGAGAAATGGCAGGGCGCAACGCCCTATGCAAGGCCTTTGCGACAACTGACAACAAGAGTATGCCCCGGTGGGAGTCGCAGGACGAAACCGAACCCCGACCTTTGTAGAGGTGGGTAAGAATACCTCCCTTGAATCCCAAAGGTTCTTCACCTAACAAGCAGAATTTCAGTAGGACCGGGTACCAGATATGGGCGAGCTGCCTGGGGAAAGCAGCGTTCAAGGCACTGGGGAGACCATCGGGGCCCCCTGCCTTCCCAGCCTGGGTGGAGGCAAAGGCCTGGCACAAGTCGGCAAGACACGGAAGGTCATGAATACTTACCGGCATTGGAAGAGCAGACTGTGCCACCCGGGCCGAGACAGTCAAGTCGGGGACTGAGACCTCTACCCCGTTCTCCATAGCGCTAAAATGGTCCCGCCAGCGTCGCTGTACGAGCTCCGGGGTGTCACACGGTCTACCGGCATCGTCAAGGACTTCCGGCAGGACCGCCGGTGCGAAGGCTTTCTTGCGACGGCGACACAGCAGTCGTTGCAAAGCCGTGTCTGCCCCAGACTGGTTGCGCTCGACAGCGTCCGCCAGGCCCTCGACATACCGCGCCCGGTCATTCTTGCAGTGCGTCTTCAGACGCCTCCCGAGGACGCGCAACTGCAAGCTGGCTATGGTGCCTGCAACGTGCGCCGAAAGGGACCACGGCCCTTCGATCATTTCGAGAAGGGCATCCCCACGGCCCTCACGCAGGGCCCGAAAGGCTGCAAAGAGCAAGTGAAAGCGCGAGTCCTGTCTGATCCTGGCACATCTTCGTCGCAAACGGGCGACTTGAGCATGCAGATCCCAGGTGCTCGCACTCAAATATGGGTGCGTGGGGCGCCGGGGGGCGTTGGAAGCAACCTGCCTGAGCTCGGCCTGCAGAAGACCTGTGACAGAGGCAGCATGCGAGTGGCTGCAAGCGTCCCATGCTGGCCGAGGTGCCGCGTCCAGCACACCGCTCACCGCGCCTTGCAAGGCTGGGTCACTGACGCTAGACGGGACACTGCTGCGAGCTGTGCTCCGGGGCGCCAGCTTAGAGCAGCAGACCCGCATCCGGACAGAGACAACAGATGCAACATGGTCAACCACACCGTGGGCAGCCGTGACGCCAGGGTCCGTCCAACTGGCCACTCTAGCTTGGCGCCACGCGAGCGGTACAGCGACCATATCAGGGCGGATGAGGGCCTGGTTTCGCTTCTGGACGAAAGTCCAACTGCTTCCTGTGTGCACACCCTCAAATGTAGCTGGGATCCATAACTCATGATCTCGCAAGATCCGGTGTAAGGCTTCTCCAGCAGAGTCCTGCTCTTCAGCAGCGAGATCAGAAATGTGACAGGACACCTGTGTGCCGACACTGGCATTGAAGTCGCCTGCCAGAACTAGAGGGCGTCCCTTAACTATTTTGCGGAGCAGACCAGCCGTCTGGCTCCACCATTGCTCAAGCAGATGGTGCTCAGTGCCCCGGTGCGGCGCATGGGCCACCGCGAAGATGACCGAGAAACCACACTGGCAGAGGGTAATGAGGAGTCGGGCGTCCCTGTGTAGCACAAGGAAGTGCTCCTCCCGCAACTCGACCTCGCTAGCTGAACCAGAGGGTCCCTGCATCACCTTGCGCCCCAATCGCACCCACAATTCTACGCCTAGGTGCCCATTGCAGGCGCCGGAGCACAAGCGCAGGTAGCCTCCGGTGCGGACCATTCCCGCTGGGGTGCGAGCCTCCTGAATGGCGCCTACGTCAATCTCGGCCTCAAGCAAGCTGGCGGCCAGGAGGGCTGGCCGAGCCGGTTGGTGTGCTAACCCCGCCGGGCAAGCCTCGACATCGGAGGCACCGTGCCGGCCTCCCAGAGACAGGGCGTTGTAAGTAGCCAAGCGTATGGAGAAAGGAACCCACTGGGCGGCATCCTTCGATGTCCCATCAAAGGATCTGTCACAAGCTGTGATGGGGAGGAAGGGCTTCAAGAGTGTCGGCCTGTCCTCCAGGGCGATAGCCCTACTCGCACAAAGCTCCCCCCCCAGCAAATCTGGGAGGGCACGATCTCCCGCAAGCCACTGGCAGGCGACGCCAATCCAAGACCATATTTTCCCTCCAAGGGACCAGCAATCAAGGTCAGGCCAGGACGGCCAGGGCAGATGACCGAGTGACTGCCCCTCGGCAGCACTTTTCGCAGCCTGGTCGGCAACTTCATTCCCGAAAATGCCTGCATGGCCTTGGACATATCCGATGTCGAGGCGGCCAGGTAATTGCGCAAAGGCAAAGGAGGCAACATGTCGAAGGGCTTGACCGACGGCTGTAGAGCAAGCGCGACTGCCATTGGCGATGGCAATAGCCGCCTGACAATCACTCAACACCTCTATCGTGTATCCCCAGAAAATTGTTGGAAGCACCCATAAAGCTGCAATCAAGGCGGTGCACTCGGCAGCGAATGCAGAGGGAGGGGTGGCCCTTGAGACCCATTCGGGAAGGGGGCCTCCGATTAAACTGAGGGTGAAGCTGGCTGGGTGAAACAGCACACAGGACCAGCCGCATCGCACACCGTACCCGGGGGCCGGCGGAGAGAATGATCCATCTGTAAAGCAAAAGAGCTTATCGGGAAGAGGACCTTGACTGTCCAGGAGCTGCCGCAGGCCACGCCGCGTCTCGGTGCTGCAGGCGTCCAACAGATCATCGAAGAGTGCGAAGCGCAAAGGGGGGCTGAGGATCTGCCGCACATGGCCGACCTTAAAACCAAGTGAAAGTCCGGCAAGACGAAAATCGTCAGAGTCCTCAAGCTGCCTGAGACGCTCTCGTGACTCTCGTAATGCTGAATGCAGCTTCGGCTGGATCGGTTCCATAGAAACCACCTCCCGCAGGCCGGGATCAGGGGGGGCTATATGGGAATTGGCGCCTAAACCCTGAAATCTCTGTCGGGGTGCCCCCTGGTCCTGATTGGCCCTGGCACGGGCACGTGCGGGGGTGGCAACAGGCCTTCGATGTGCGAGAAGCGCAAGAGCGGCTGGTGTGTTAAGCCGGCAATCTGGCACACCCGCTGCAGCGAAACCCGCCAAGGCACTCGGTAACCCCGCCTCTCCGGGGGCACGACCCGTCGCCGCAGCAACTCTCACGCAACAAGCCAGGCAGACAAGTCCTAAAGCTTTGGGCCAGAGAGCCGGGTGGCGGCACCGGTCAGCACCTGGAAAACTTCCAAGTCGGAGGAGGGTAACAGCCAGACAGAGGGCCAACAGGAGGGGGCCCAGTGCGTGGAGGCAAGGCCCAACAAGGGCTCGATAAAGAGCGGCGGTGGTCAGGAGGATAGAGGCGGGAAAAGGACTGCCCTCAGCAAGGGCGGCTTGTAAACGGACCTTATCCCGCATAGCTACTCGACTGAAACCACCAAACTTCCCAAAAGGACCCCAGCAAGTCAGGAAGGGGAAACCCAAGTGCAAAGGGCGGCCTAGGGAAAGAGAAAGGGATGTGGGCATTTGTGATCCCCGCTGGATGCAGCATCGACGGCCACCTCCAGTTCCGGCATCTGCTCCGGCGGAGGTTCCAGCCGAGCCAGTCGCACGGGAGCCCGCGCCCTCATCTGTGCCATGGCTGTTAGCATCCGCATCGTCGGACATCCGGCCCGACGGGAGGGAAGGGCCTGAGCCTCCCGAGCCTTCACTATGCTCCAGACTATCAACCTCAATCGGTAGGAAAGTCAAGATGACGACCTCACCATGCCTGACCTGGATGTCCTGTCGGACAACCGATGGGCCTCTGATAGGGTCAAGCCGGCATAAGGCAAAGCCCTCCGGGCATCTGGCCAGGAACCGACTAAGGAGCAAGGTCAGAGGCAAACGGCCTTCGGAGAAGTGCTGCCAGGAGAGACGCAGGAGCATTGGCCTCAAATCAAGGAAACAAACCGGGCCCGCTGGTCCCAGATCTTGGGCGTCTGGGAGGGTAACTGCCGCAATGACATTGCGAGATGGCACACCTCTGTCCTCATGGTCAAGAATCATGGGGTCCGGCGCACGCAGGATCAGGGAGTGCGGCAGCACTCCAAGTCGCACAGCTATATCACTGCGAAAATGCACACGTCTGCCCGCCGCAACACTGAAAGAGAACGCTTCCTGCTCGGAAAGTGTCCATACGGTGTCCTCAAAGGTAAGGTCCGGCGCCCAGTCCTGTAACCAACCTGCTGTGGAGCGCAGCATGTCCGAGAAAGTGACAGTGGCAAAGGCGGCCTGTCCAGTCGGGACCACTAGGATCGCGTCGCCATGTGACAGATGCATCGACCGGGGGGCACTGGCCAAGGCAGATCCCGGTGGTAAACTTCGTAGACCGCTCCAAGTGAAATGCCTGCGACGTGCAGTATATCGGCTGGCGTGACAGAGGAGGGCAGGTGTAGCGCGAAAACGGCCCCAGAGGCTCTGGTAGCATCAACGACGACCACAGCGCCATCCGGGACCCAAAGAGGAACCGCAAGCAGAACTCCTACCCCCGACAGGGATTGTGGATGCACAGCGCAAACCCTAGGAAAGATCTGCCGGTGGGAGGGCGCACGGGCAACGTTGACTGCCTCGAGGGCATCGGCATCACTGCATCCTACCGGCATCCGGGCATAGACTATCTCAGGACAGTATGCCTGACGGAAAACAACAAAAGTTCCTTCAAGGAAGGAGGAACCCTCAATCCCACTATCAGGGGGGCCATCAGGGTCAGTCCTAATTGGAGTGGGACTTGGCAGGTCACGCGGAGACCCAAACGGGGCGGGGGTACGGGCGTCCCCAATCCGGGACTCCGAAAGCCCTGCGGTTGGGAGAGCCCCCTGAGATTGTGAGCCCTCGGCTGTCAGGCTAACAGAGCCTGGGAAGGGGACACGGTCTTGAACATGACTAGGAACAACAGGAGCTCGCACGACCTCAAGGCGGAAAACTTGGCCCGGTTGGACTTCAAAAAGGGCCTCAGTCTGCACACCAACTAGCCGTCTGATCCAGCCTACTGGGGCCTCTTCTGCAACAGAGGCAAGAAGCTCTGCAGACGAAGTCTGCCCGCCCCTAGCAAAATGAGACCACCAGCCTGCGGCGAGGGCTCGAGCATCAACAAGCACAAGGCATGGCGGGCGAGCATCGCCTGGCCGTTCTTCATGGACGGCAATGACAGTGCGACAGAGCAAGCCATCCAGCGTGGCATCGACCACACGCCTGTGGGCAGGAACCAATTGGAGTCGGGTCTCCGGGATCCCCAAACAGGCTGCTATCTGCCGTCGATAAGCTGTCGGGCGCCTGGGGTCAAGAACGAAAAGCACCACACAATCGGCGTGGACAAGACAGTAAACTTGGCCGGCGTCCCGCTCAGGAAAGGCGGGTTCACTGCTCCAGGGGAAGCGGGCCGCCAACACATGCTCCAATGGGTAGGCAATGGGAAGGGTGTAGTCAGACGGAACTATGAAGACTGTAAGGCCAAGACGTGTATGAAAATAAACATCGTCGGCCAGTGGGACATCGTCAACTCCGACATAGACTGAAACCCCTATACGCTCACTGACATTTACAAGGGCCAGCAGCTGTTGGCGCGTCACATAAGCTGGTGCGCTTAGCGAGAAGATCCTGCCATCAAGACTTGAAGAGTCAACGCAAAGAAGGTTGTCTTGCATTTGCCATTCCGCGAAGGCCAAGACAACCCCACTACCGAGTCGTGGCTGAGGGGATGCAGGGGCCAAAAGCGGGAAGCGATCGCGAGCAGCGGGTTCCCTGGCATGGCTGACCGCGCTCAGAACCTCATGTACAGTCGCGGGAAGATGGAGGGTTGTCAGGATGGATTCCGGAAGATAGCCTGGCACAAGCACAACGAAGTGAGCCTCGGCCTCTTCCTCAGCATCATCGCTGGACTCACTGGGATCAACGTCACGCAGAGTAACAAACGGGCGAGCCGGGGTGTAGCGCCAACCGCGACCGAGAAGCGGGGCATAGTAACGTAACGCAGCCAGAGATTCCTGCATTGCCCGCGTGGTAGGGGTGGGCTCAACCAACCATTTCTGGGTACGCGGTGCCCACAGCCAAGCAAACAGGGAGGCTGAAGCTTGCAAGAGCGCTACCCCATTCCCATCGAGGGCACAACACACAGGCCCCACTATGTCAGCAGCAGCAAGCACGGTGTTGGCACACCAAGGAGCCCCTAAAAGCACACCAGGAGCAACATCTCCTGGCGCGCGTGTGCTGAGCGTCTGGCACGCATCCGCCCCTGTACTCAACAGCAGGGCCGCAACGGGCTTGACGCTGTGCGCAAGGTAGAGCTTCCGAGGCCCTCGCTGAGGAGGGAGGCGATTGCGCGGGGTCCGGCTGCGGTCGCACTCCTCTGCAGGAGGCGGGACCCCCACTGCCGGATCCGGGGGCCCATCAGAACTATCGGAAGAGTCATCAGACGATTCCTCCGAGGACTCCGATGCGCCTTCAGGGTTTCGGTCAGTACAAGGGATGTACTCGACACTCAGGATCGAGCAACTCTCACATCGGAGATACGTATCCCCGTGCTGTAGCTCCTGTGAGCCTCCGTGGATACAGACCTGGTGCCCGGCTGGGAGCCGGTCTTCGAATCGACGCTCGAGTTCGACCAAACGGGCTAAACCACTGTCGAGGATGCACCAAGAGAAATCCTGCAGGATCGCCCTAAGATCGAAGAAAACCACGACTTGTGGCGCAAACACGCGTCCCGGTGGCACTGGTGTGCGCCTCAAAGCGACAGTGGCAAGCAGGACAGCTTCACAAGGACTGCCCAGGTGCATGCAATTAGAGATCCTGGGCCTGGCAACCTTACACGTAAGGGACTCAATGTCACATGTGAGGGCGACTGCCGCCATAGCGCGAAAGTCGTCGGTCCCTCTGATGAGCTGCCTGTCTATCTGTGCCAAACGGGGTAGGCCGTCTGTAAGGAGCAGGAAAGTGTTTCTGCCGTCGACGACCGGCCTGGGCAGTTCACTGTCCCAGAGCCCAGCTCGATTAAGCTTGAAGGGTAAGTCAAAAAGACTTGGCAGAGAAGATGCCGGGGGAAGGACAGTTATGAGGTCCCCTGATTCAAAGACAAGCGGGCGCCCAGGGCTTGCCAGGCGCTGGCGCACATAGACGTCAATTGGCTCTCTACCTTCCAAGCCAGTCTGCAGGAGGAAGGACCCCCACTGCATCCACGCATCAACAACCAGTGGAAAGAGCCTACCGTCAATCTGCCTGGTGTCAAACAAGGCAATCACTTTACTTTCCGCCCAGAGCGGCAGAGCAAGGATGCACCCAAAGCCCACCTGTGGTTGGGGCCGGGCAGGCGTCATGAACTCAAAACGCACCGCGGCGTCAAGTCCTCTTGCCATGGAAAGTAGATCGCCTGTCTCCCCCTCACCAGCTGGGAAATCAACGTCAAGTCCGATAACTTCTGGGGTGCAACGGGGTGCAAAGATCGCGAAGTGCACTGTCTTCGTTACAAACCGCACAGCGAGGGTATCCTCAAGGTCGTTGGCCTGCTGACCAAGTGTGCTGTCCCCACCCTGCTGCCTAGCGTGGACCCTGAAGACAGCTCCGGCACAGACGTGCACTTGGGAGTCGCCTCGGTCACATCCGAAGACATACACCTCAAAGCCTTGTGGCAGATGAATGTCGAGGAGATCGAGGATAGCACTAACAGGCTGAAAACCCGGAAGGAGACCTGAAACCATCAAACCACTACTAAGTGTCCTGGCATCAACAAAGACGGGCACTTTGGTAGCGGAGCCCGCCTGGGCATCACTGGAAGCTCGAATTGCCCCCAAAATTCCGCGTACGGCGCGGCCTCCCTGCAGGAGAGAGGCGACCAAGGAGCCCTCACAAGGCTCAGCAAAGGAGACCTCATCATGTGCCTGGTGCATCCTTCGCAGGATCGCTCCGCGTAAGGCAGCAGGGTCGGCGGAGTCATGCGCAACAACAGACAGAGCATGCTCATCAAGGGTAAGCCACGAGGGCGGGCACGCACCTAGAAGAAGTGGGGAGATTTCCCTCGGCCGAAAATCTTCATCGGATAGGACACTTACCACATCCATCGCCAAGGTCGGGACACAGTCAACCGGGACAAACCTGAGTACCGATCCGGACAGCACTCGCAACGCGCCTGACTGTCTCTCCGGGTCATCGTCAAGGTAAACGACCCAGGGCTCAAGGCTGTACTGGTCTGCAATTTGTTCAAGGACAGGGTCCTCAATCACAACCGGCAGGAAGGCTGCGAAAACAACTTCCTGGAAGGCCGAGAGGTCGACGACCACAACCCGCTGCCCTGAGTATGCCACCCAACGTGGGACTTGGAGGAAGGTCAGGAAAGAACCCGCAGGCTGGACAGAGGCGGGCAGGAGAATGCTGTCCGGTAACAGCTCCTCGGTCTGGAGCCCCGCACGAACGGCATGGCAAAGCATGTTTTCATCAATATGCACTGGCAGGCTCAAGTGCACAACCGCGGTCCGAAAGCCCGGGCCCAGCACTGCCACAGGCACAGGGCCCGCTTCTATATCAACTGCAGCACCCAGCGCAGGCCATGTGGCAACCTCTTCACGCGAACCTCCGGAGAAGGGAACGGTAGAAGAGGTGCGTTCTCGCTCAAGCCCTGTGGCCCAGGGTGCGGCAGGGGAGGTGCTGACATGCTCGGGGGCCATGCACCAGGCACAAGTCGGAAGGCTCGCAAAACCGGATAGAAACCCCAACAGCCGGGAAAATGCAAAGCCCCCACGCTTGACAGGTGGGCCGCGCTTTCCACGCCGCAGGCCGGAAGGCTGTCTCTTCTGTTCCCAGGCCTGAATGGATGGTGAGCAACATGAGAGTCCCTCAACCAGAGTGGGCGGGACACCGCTAGTGGGGAGCTGAACCAGCCGACTCAGAGGGGAATCATGCCTGGGAAGATTCCAGCAAAGGAGTTTGAGAAGGGCGAGAAAAGCCAGCCCAAGGACACTCCTCGCTAGTGGCACCAGAAAAGTCGCAAGGGCATGCAACATGAATATGCCCAGACTGTCGCGCTCAGGCAACCCCCCAGACCTAGGGGCCAGGGGACTAAACCCAAGGGGCTTAGGGGAGGGGGTGATGCGGCCGGCCGTGGCTCTTGTCCCTGAGCTACCGATACAAGTATTTAGCGCCCACGGCCCAGCCAATTCACCGCACCTGCCGGAACACAGAAACGGCAGGGCCTCGGAGCGAGGATCACCAGAACAGGGACCCTCTCCCCAGGCAAGAAGGGATGGCTCAACGAGGCCCGAAGTCCAAAACAAGGAAGTCAAGGCCTCGCCAAAAACCGTTATCGAAACCTCCACGCATCTCAAGGAGGAAGGGGCAGCACAGCCTTGGGAGTCAACTGCAGAGGCAGAACCCCCTGCGGAAGATGTTGAAGATGTCATGGCTCCCGTCCCAGAGCGACCGATACGGGTATTTCGCGCCCATGACTCAAAGAAAACCGGGTGTTTGCCAGGCCTGCCACGCTGAGGGAAGGGGAAGGCCAGTACAGTAGGCGGGGCAAGCGAATCGACACCGTCAAGAAGACGGGCGGAATGTTGGACCAGGAAACTGCCAAGACAAGTGTGTCGTCCGAAAGTCGAAGGCCCAAAGGGGATGAGACAACGGGAAGCTTCCCCAGTGAAGCTTCGCACGTGTCAGACCCTCGTAGCCTGCCTGACGGATAACCCACATGCCTCCGCCTTTCCGGCCCAACACTAAGCCTGCTCATCATGATAAGCTGTCCTGGCCATCTGTCTGGCCATCTCCATCGTCGTCCACGAAGCCAATGGGGCGGGAGCCCACATTGGCACCAACCTCGCCCGGTTCCGTGACACCCTTTCCGGGCAAACCGAAAGGAGCCAGAGCGGAACGTCGCCGAAGACGATCCTGCATTCGGGCTCGGTCCATAGCCCTCCACATGTGCATTCACAGGCTGTCCCGTGGTGTCGACTGCGGAGGGGTCCAACACACCGGCATGGTCGCTTGCCATGCTGAGGCCTGGTGGCCCAGGTGGGGGCCCTGCCGGGGGGCCACCAGGAACGGCACCTGGCACACGCAACCCTGCAGAGCCATGCTCCACTCCACTGCCGCCAGGGTTCGCACCAGCATCCACATGGGGAACATTGCTCCCTGCACCATGTGGCCCCACGAGGCCGGTTGTAGGAGTCGTCAAGCCAGCAAGAGCAGCTGCCTGCATCCCCTGTGCTGCCAGGTACGGGTCCACGATTGCAGTATACTGCACCGAGGGAGGTATTCCCCCGAAATGTGGCGGGGTCCGAGGCACGGCCATTGTGGATCGATTCGGGGTGACTGTAGCTTGTGCCATGGCCCTTTGGAGAACAGCATCGTTGGCATACTGTTCCTCGACTGCCCAGCTCGCGAAAAGCTCGTCCGCATCGGGCTCGCCCTCCATGGCAACATCGCCGGAGGCAGCCGGAAGCGGTTCGCCTGTCCAAGCATGGCGCAGGGCCAAACGTGCAGCTTCCTGCGCCTCCTCGGCATCCTTGATGTCCGCGTCGAGCCTGGCACGATCTCGAAGGAAACGTTGTCTTTCGGTCTTGAATGCTTCCTTCATCTGGGCATGAAAAACCTCCCATTGTTCCGCCGCAAGTCGTTGGGTCTCCCTCAACTTGCACACCCGGACTTCCGCCTTTCTGGTATGATTCAAGGCTTGCTGCAAGGCGGGTGTCGTCGAACCTGCTGCAGCTAAAACCGCATTCCCAGAGCCGCCAGGTGCCGTCGCCCCCGCTTTGGCTTTGGGCACACTGACCGAAGCGTAGGTCGGGAAGGCAGGGCGAGCCGGCCTGCCACCTTTGGCATTCTTGGCTCCCTCTCCCCGCCATGGCGGCTGTCCAGAACGTGGCGAATATGCACCTGGCCAGACACGGTAGCCGTCGTTGTCGATCCATGGCTGTGGCTGCTGCTTTCCTCCACGGCCCATATGTCGAGAAGTGGAGCTTAAAGGCAGTCCAGATCCGTGGTGGCGGGTAAGTGCCAACCACTGTTTGCGGGACACCGGTCGGCCCGCTTTCAAAGATGCCCGAACGCAGGCTCGGCGGTAGCGCCTGTTGCGGTGCCAAGCCGGTGAACGCGGATGGGTCCCAATGGCTGGACAAAGGACGGCGTTTATTACGCCTGGGGCTACAGTCTTCCAGCCGCTGCTGGCTATCTGAGCCCTCATACATATATATATATATATATATGTATATATATATATGTATATATATATATATGTATATATATATATATATATATATATATATATATATATATGTATATATATATATATATATATGTATATATATATATATATATGTATATATATATATATATATATATATTTCTTGTTAGTTTTGATGTTTGGGACTTCGGGCTGAAGGCACCTGGAAGTCCGGGACTCCGTCCTGAAAGCAGTCGGACTTCTCAGGGGAAGCACAACTTCTCCGCAAGTGTCCTGGAGTCGCCCGCCAACTCTTCCTGGAGCTTCTCGATGGCTTCAATCGCCTGAACTTTAGGCTTCGTCAGAGACATGTGCTACATTCCGGTGTCGAGCCTCGTGAGGAGACATGCCGGCTGCCTCCAGTTCCTGTCGGCGCTGCACGGCAAGGCTCTGCGACACCCTGCAACCTACTCACTAATTTGTGAACCGCCATGTTGCATCGAAGCCTCACAAGCGTGCATGTCATGAGTGCATGCAGGCACACGTGCGTGCTCATACATGCACGCACAGAGAGACTTGACAGCATGCCCGGTGCGCCATAGTATACGTACATTTGACAGGCATCCCTGTGACGGTCGACCCTTTCACCTGCGTGGAAGATGCGAGCTTCCATAAGCCACAACTAGACAGAGAGAGCGAGAGCGAGAGCGAGAGGGCAGAGAAAGAGCGAGAGAGACAGAGACTTCAATGCACCTGCACACACGCACACACACACACACACACGGATCTGCATCACACAAAGCCTTTTTCTTCTCAACAGGACAATGCCAAGCCTTAAGATGCTCTTGGAGTTCGCGTTGTATCTTCTGGTTGGTGGTCTCCTGTCTCACAGCTATCCAAGCACTCGGTCAGGTGCCGGTAGGTTCAACAACCCAGCGGTGTTGCAGGACAGGCCTTGCAGTCGCATACATCTTGAGATGGCTGATGAACAGTTAAGTTGACCATGCTCGCATCATGAAGCACAACTGAAGAAGCTGATTGGTTACCCGATTGGATCTGCGATGTGTGCATCTACGCTCTAAACTCCTCCAGCACGCGACGCAGGGTTGGGGAGCCGTCAAGTCGGACGAAGGAGATCCACCCATCCACCAAATCTTCCTCATCCTCGTGGGCTGGTTCTCGAAGCTCAAACCGAGGGTGACGACTGACTTGGACCGCTGTCAGGCCTCGTGGATCCACCCCACGAGCGCACGGGTGCCCTCAATCAAGTTCAGCCCAATCGAAGTGCCCACCTTCCTTACACGGTTACAGCGGGAGCCAGAAAGCCAATCGAAACGTAGCTAACCGGCAACTGCCAAGCCACAGCCACCCCAACGGCTCGCTGCGAGGGTCCCGGCCCTGCCGAAGATTCAAGTCACTCAGACCGCAAAGGAATGACTAGATTGTTAACATGCCCGGACAATGTCCAGAGGCCTCTGTGACAAGGAGAGCATCTCCCTCCTCCAAGGCTGGATTCACTAGCTGAGCTCAGTAAAAACAAGATGGTATGATGCACCATGGCACAATGGTCATGGTCTGCTGACCCCGGCTCCTCAGGGCCTTCGGTTCCAGACACTGGCTCGAGAACGACCCTTGCCCGGCAAGAACGTGCAGCGCACCGCAAGCTAGCAATTGAAGGGCGAGTCGCTTTAGCGGCTGGACGCCAAGGAGCCAAACGGGCGTGACCACCGCATTCATTCCGGCCACGTCGTCTGTGCGCATGCGGGCTGGAAGCCGCTGCAGGTAGCGGGTGCCATCCTTCCACCGAATCACCGAACTGCAATGAAAGCCCAAAAGAAGGTACCGGTGCTCGCCGCCATCTTGCTGCAGCGCCTGGGGGGGCCATCGGTACTTTGCGAAGCCCAGCTTTGCCACGCCGTCGGCATCCGGAAGAAGGATCTCCACGATCCCTGCAGGCATCACGGCTTCCGCTTTTTGCGATTCGATGATTCGATGCGGTGCAACGTGGCCGTGACGGCCTTGGGCCATGGGGGTTTTCTGGGGTCTCTGAGGCCTCGGGACTCGAGGCTCCAGCCGTACGAACGAGCCTGGCTTTGGCATGCCCACGGTCGTTACCACGGTTCCCGGCTTGAGCACTTCAATCCTTGTGCTGGCAAATGTAAGACAGGTCGCCGCGCTTCTGTGCAGTCGGGTGTCGGCTGGCCCGTCATCTCCACGGTGCTGAAGACGTTGTATCTGTAGCCCGGATCCTCGTACTCCTGACAAAGCGAATCGCTTCCTGCGTTGGAGTTACGGCTCTCGATTCGTGCGCAATGTATAGGCGTGGTCGTGTGTGCGTGCAGGCTCGTGTTGCCCTTTTTCAAGCGTCCCCTTGTTTTAGTTTTACGTGTGCCTTCAAACCATGCCGTCAATGTTGCTGGACTGGTTTCCAAGAATGCCTTGAGGCATTCCTGGCGGTGTCTGTCGAAGTTATCTTTTGCACGAGGACTGCGGCAAGTCGCAATAAACCACGACTTTCACGTTCCCATCCACAGATTCCGAAACTGGAACGTGCACGAAGGAAGCAACATTCAGCGACAGACACCTACTGTACCTGCCGCCTTGCTTGTGCAACGATGCAGCCACTACACGGGGCGAGACGTACACATCGTTCTCTGCGAAACCGAAGGACTCCTCCAGTTTTTCAGGAATCACGGTGAACAGGGTCCATTCGCCTTGGCCCAGGCTCTGACATGAACTCTCCGAGAAGCCCCAAGGCCTTCGGGGGCCGTTGGGCCCCGCACCGAGCAAGAGAAACTCTTCCAAAGCATTGAGGCGAAGAACTTCCTTAAGGGCCCGAAGCAAGAATGCGAGGTTGAGATCGCCGGGCACTGCCGCTTTCACTCTGGAGGCTTCGAGGTAAAGGGTTGTCTGAGCGTCCACCAAGCTCCAGCTTGTCAGATTCATGTTCACAAGGTTCCAGTATCCTCAGACAAAGAACATCCGCGGGAGGACGCAAGCTCCATTGCTGTCAGTTTCTAGTGAATCGCACAGCCACACAGCCAGGCTTCTCCGGCCACCGATGGGATCCCGACACTCGCGCCAGCCTCCTGCAGAGCATTGCCGGGACTGTGACTCACCATGCATAGGGCACAGGCAGTCTGGCGAAGTCGTGAAGAGAAGGGGACAGGCCTGACACTGGAATGTCATAGTAGAGGCGGTGGGGGTCGTAACCTTGGTAGCAAGTGGAAGCCTGCAACCCAGTAACCCAGCCGCTCGCTTGAGTAAGCCTGAGCTACGATCTGCGTGTTTTACTGAGCTCCGTGCCATTCAAGGCAATTAGCGTGGCCTGGGGCGAGTGGCCCCGCAAAGCCATGGCGAAAGAGGCGCTTTTCACATGTGAGCACGGGACTCCAAAAGTCTGCGAGACTCGAGGACAGTCACTGTTGCGCTTGTGTTGATCTTCGGATTGTTTGAGTCGGCTGAATGTCTAAGTAAGCTGAAGCATCTCTAGGTGAAGTAAAGCAAGCTGCATCTCGACTTGAAGCATTCCACTAAATCAGTCGAGCTACCAGAGCTACCCACGGGATTTCCCCTTTGGGGAGTCGCCGCGGGCCTCGTGAATTCTCAAGCTCCCAGCCGCGAGCAGGAATGAGAGCAACAGATGGCAACGGGAGGAAACACCCACTTGTTGTTTGGAATTAGAAGCTTTGGTAGCTTCCAGTTACTCCACGTGTGGGACAGAGAGCTGTGCAACGTCGAACTACCGTCGGATGAAGCAAGCAGTATGCCGACGCATCACTCACAACAACGAAGACTTGTGAATGCAGCGATGCATGCACCTTATGGGATCCGAGGTGACCGCCCAAAATGTGTGCGCTGGAGTGCCAGAAGACATCCTGCGCGAGCGGCAGCAACGTCTCGCACCGGCTCGACCCGACCAAACCCTCAGAGTGATTGGATTGTCTGTCAAGTAGCGATCGGCAAATTCCGTGAGCATGCGAAGCCCTTGGCAGTTGCTGATCTCTTGTGTCCTGGCCCTGCGGGTGGTCGAACTTGAGGAGCTCCATCCTGCAGCTGCCTTCAAGGGGCCTGACCGTAGAACTCCGAATGCCAGCTTTTCCAAGACACGCTTCGGGGAGTCTCGTCGATGTGAATCTTTTTTTCCAGGCTTCCTGGTAACGCACCCGACCCAGCCACACTTTGGCCGGACTGAGTCCCCTAAACCATCCGGCTGCAGACGGCGGAAGCCGAAAGCAGGCCCGGCTCGCTTGACTTTGAAGCGACAGCCCTCCTAAACCTGCTGAGGTCCATCACGATGCGATGGCTACGAGAGACTTGAGGGTCTTGCGACCATCATCGAATCTAGACTCTAGACTTAAACTACAACATTTCCCCCAGCCTGTTGCTGGAGGTTTCGGAGAGGGAAGCGGCACAGTCCCCGGTCATTCCAGCTGCTCTCAGCCCCGAGCTCTCAAACTCCATGGACTTTCGGGGCCGAGAGCTTCCAGGGCAGGGCATGCTACGAAGGCCGTCATATGCAATTGGCAATCGCACTTCACCTTGCAAACCTTAGCTGAAAAGAAGCTTTTGTGTGCGAAAGCTGAGGCGGCTGGCAAGCAAATCCCCGAACAAAGCATGCCGAACGACACTTCCTTCACCATGTTGGGTCACTACGCATGATGGCCAGAGTGCTGAAACTTGCACATCAGTTGCAGCATCGGTTAGCCTACGATGGAGGAAGTTTGGCAGCTTCAAAAGGAGCCGCGGCGCTGCGCGCGTGATGCTCACACCGCCCAGGCCGAGGAGTCTGAGTCCGCATCGTCGCTCTCCTGAGCCATTTGGCACCTCGCGTCGCGCTGCTGGCAAGGGAAAAAAGGAACGGCAAGTAGTTTCGGGGCCTGGACTTCCACGGTTGCAGTTTTTGGTGCCAAGTTGCGGGAACGACAGGCAGATGTCGATGAAGAGCAAAATATGGAACATGCAGATCGGGAGCCTCGGAGGACTCTCATTCAACAAACTCAGCTCTTTAATGCTTTCGACAGCAGCACTGCCTTCTATCCACAACCCGATGCTTGGCAGTCTTGCGTATAGGTGGCGAACATAGGGTTTGGAGCTGGGAATGCAGGAGTGAAACATGTTCAGCAAGCATTGCTGCATTCATGATGGTATTGCCACACTGCTAGCAAACGCCCATTGTCGATCGGTACCCATACCGGGACCATCCATGGTGAACCGATTAAGCTTCCTTCCAGGCAGCAAGGCGCCAAGATGTTCTTCGACAAAGCCTGAGCATCTGTAAAGAGTTGGGATGCAGGGCCATGATGCGATGATCGGCCAATCTATGTGAATGTACGCTTCTTCGTCCAGAGTGTATTGATTTCTCAGCAGGCCATATGCTTCTCTGCTTCACAGAGAACTCGTCGCGGACTTTGACAAGAACAGGTGAAGATTACATCTTTCTAATCAAACTGACATGCACTGAAGATTGATTTTCGAGAGCTTCCTGGCTCTTCGGCCAGGCAGCCAGCGCTGCTGACTGAACTTCGTGGGTCAAGACACATCCCGCCCACAAGAAGCCGCCATCCGATAATTACAACAAGTCGTAACACACCGAATTTTCGGGGCAAGAAGAAGGGCCAAGGGTCTCCAAGACTTGCTCATGCTGTTACCGACACATCGGCCTAGTCATGCTCAGACATCTCGCGTCTCAGGTATCTTTCTCGGACTAACTTGATTTATAAGCATGCTTGCGACCGCATGCGACTGCAAAAGGGCACTTCGCCGAGCAGCAGAGCCGCATGGCAACCCAGGTGACTGCCACGGCAACGATGTACGTTGAACACAGGAGGCACTGCAGCAAGGCCTGGGACAGCAAAGGCGCTCATCTAAACAGGAGTCGCTCGGAGAACTTTTATGGCGAGCTGCGGGCGGCACGCGGTGGCTCGCGGCCTGTCCCACTCTCGCAAGTGCCTAGGTAGTCAGTTCAGGATCATGGGCCAACTTATAGGGATGCCAAGTCCGCTCAGATTACGTGCAACAGCGGCGGAGGGAGTTGCACTCGAACGATATCCAGCTAGTGTGCGTCGAAACCTTTTGCTGCTAGTCGCCGACACAGCAACTCCAAAGCATTCACTACGTAGACTACAGCGATCACCACGCAATGTGAAAGTGATCATGAGATAACATACAAAGTATACAGGCGGCTGCTACAAGTCTTACGAGGCGCGGCGGCCTATTTTACGGGGTATCGCTGGTGCCACACACACAAGGATAGTAAGACACATAGTGTTGCACTTACATGTAACTTGGTGAGCTGGGAATGCTTCCTACAGGTGGAGCCAAGGTGCGAGGAGCATACACAAGGAAAAAAGCAGGACCAGAAAGAGGCTGGCCCAGCGAAGCAACAGCAACAGATACCATACCTGACTGCGGCTGCACACCAGTGAAATCGAGCATTGCACTATGCACGAATATGTAACGTAGTCCGCTAACATACATGCTTGCTGCCTGCCGTGCCGCAACGAGTTCCCCCCTCGCCAGTGTCTCCGCAGGGCCCAAGGACCCCAGTAGCATATACCGAGGCAGCGTTGGCAGCACGCACGTGCTCAGCAGCTCCAGCATGGGGGCGGACACACCACAGGATGAGAGGCCTGGTCCGAAAGAAAGCCGAGGCCGAAGCTCACATATGACAGAACAACATAACGGCATCCTTATCTTACATGTGCTTTCTTGTCAACGGTACCCTTCCATGGGTCGCTCAAAACAAAGACATCTCGATCCTCTGATCTGCCACACAAACCAAAAGTCATATGAGTCACTGTCGAAGAGAGAAGCTTGACACCCTCGTTAGATCGCTGCGTGAAGCCACTTGCATAGCAGTCCCTCAACGCCTCCGGGCCTGAAATGCTTGACCAGCGTGCGAATACTTGTGCGTCATTAAACAACAACCTCAATTATCCCAGTGCCTGTCTTCTCCCTTCCCCCGCGTCTTCTGATGCGCAACCATGTATCGCAGTTTGACCTTCCTCTAACTCTAAAGCGCAGCCCTTTGTCTGTCTGTGTGTTCTCGCAAACCGAACTTATGTTTGCATTGAGTGCGTTGTCCCTATTCCCAATTGTTTCACAGACTGAAGTCACATTCATCTGCAATCGGCTATACCTGGCCACACCTTATATACCCTCCCTTGTATGAATTGGCCCTGCTTCCGTCTTTGACATGCCGTGCCTTTACTCGTCATGAACATCATTGTTCTTTCTGTCAGACTCCTTCGTAAAGTTATTGTTGCCCATCTTCTCTTCATATTTTGGTATGTCTTTCTCGGCTTTCGTTTGTCCTGCCATGAGTTACGGCCCCGAGCTCGTCCTCCTCCTGTTCGCACTCCACCTCATCTTGGTCACCATCCCCATCATCCACTGAGGACTCTGCCTTCTCCTCAATCTCCTCCAACCCCTTCACGATGATATGACTAGCTACATCATACTCAACATCATACTCGGCATCATACTCATCATCACAGTCATCATCACAACCATCACCAGCAGCAGTGTCACAGACTCCCTTGATCCCTTCAAGAGAGAAGCTTAGTGATTAGTGCAGACCAGCATCGTAGCAAAGTTGCAGCTTGCTCACGCACCCTCATGTTGAACTTCTGCAAGCCATCGCCCTGCCCTTTACCGCTTGACGCTTCTTCGATCAATGAACAGACATCGAGAAAGTCGCACGATAATGTCGATCCAGTTATTGGGTGCACGTGCTGCAAATGACAGCACGCACAGCTGGCTTTCTCAACGTTGAATCGTCGGATCTGCGCAGGGACCAGCTGAGCTAACATCTGCATCTGCATCGCCAAGGAGAATAATTGCCGAAGCTGCCCAAATGCTGCAGCTAAACCCATGCCGCCCAGCACACAAGCCACGCTTAAGCTCTTCATGCTGCTGGCATCTCGAACTCCTGAGAAGGCATATAGACCGAATGCCAGAAACTGGCAGCTCAAGTAGAACAGGAAGAAGAACCAACCCATCGTTTCAGGCATAGCAAGCACGTTGCCTTCTCCGTTAGACTGCTCCAGAAAGCTTACGACCTCGTAGACACACAACGGGCACCTGAAATACGTGGCCGAGCAAACCACCACTAGTGTCTGCGAGCGCTGCAAGACGCCCCCAAGCTTCTGCAGCTCTGCCGATCGGAGCTCGGATTTGCGAGAGACACAGACTTCTCTCAGAAAGGTAAGCTGAGACAGTCCAATCGAAGTGCGGATGTACTGCCAGAAGAAGAGGACAAGAATCGAGGTCAGGTGCGGAATGACTGCAGTCCTTAATCAGGGCCGATCTGCTCTGCTAGCATACTACAAGCACCAAGCGGCTCACGGCAACTGACGGGACACCATAGGTAGACCAGTGTGTAAGTCTCGCCAAGGTTCCAAATGCTGTATGGAATCCTCCCATGCACCTGCATGATGCCTCAAGGCGCAGAAAAGAAGAGCAGCGGGAACTCCATGCCAACGGGCATCCCAAATTCCCAAATTCCCTTCGTGCCCCCCCAAGGGCCTATAGTGAAGCTAACGCAAGCCGTGGCAACGGCAGCAGCCCGGGCATTAAGAAGAATTTGGCAGCACCACTGCCTGAACAGGACGTTGACTGCAGAGACGCAGGGACGACGTGATGCGATTCGATAAGCAGCCTTTTCCTCACCTTCCTGAACATTCCGCCGAGGCACTTCCTGAAAATCGACTCCGAATCATTGATCTGATCGTCGGTGCTGATGAAGATGTCGCAGCGGGATGTCCTAGCAAAGGCTACTACTGCATTCTCTCCCCTCCGACACAAACTCGAGCAAGTCAGGGTGCTATCAACTGGGCAGACAAGATGCTCTTTCTGGTGCTGCGCAACATCGGGGCCGATGCCGTCTTCCAACAGTGATGGCCTTGCGACTCGCCATCACGTGACTTGCAGGCCCGACAGTAATGGATCAATGACCTTGCATTCCCATTCAACCCTGCTATTTTGGACCTAAAGTTATAAGACCAGGTCCCTCCAAAGCTGGCTGAACGAATGCCGTATGTTGGTTTGTGGACAAGTGCTGCTTCAGACAGTTCAGGAAAAACGTATGCAACCGTTTCAAAGTACCTACCAGTAAGAACTGTCAGGTGCAGGTCGACGGTGTCCACCCATCCTAAACTCGTAGGTGCTTTGAAGGGGCCCGGGACAACAGCTAATGGAGCATGTGGTAGACTCCGAACCAAGAAACGGCACGGATCTGAATGCTTCTCAGTTCTGAAGAACTAGATCCGCACCTCCATATCTGCCAGCAGCGACTCAGACCTCGGATCTCCATTTGCCGCTGACTCGTGATCTATGCTTGGCAGTTCCACTCAGTGCGCCTGTGGCTCAGCCCAGGCACAGAGATGTAGAGGGATGCTCGTGAACTGCTCCCGGCCTCTCTCTCCTTTGACCATGGCAAGCCTGGCCATCTGAGCGAAACCCCGCGGGCTCCCGGGCCTCCCGGGGCTGCGGGCTGTGCCCAGTCATCCCAAGTTGCCTTGACGGTAAAGCAGGAAGCTCGAGCCGAAATATGAGGCAAGCAGAGCACCGTGCTCTGGGAAGCTTGAAGGTTCACAAGCTCATGTCGGCATAGATATTGTAACCCGTAGCCCCGTCACCACAGCTTAGTGAACTCCAGACTCTGGATCTGTTTCACAGCCTCGTCATGTCCCACAACACGCTCTGCTCCGCATCCGCTTGTTCCTCGGGCTCATCCTGCCAGGAGAGGTTGCTGCAGGAGCCGTGGGGCCGGGGCAACAAGCAAGGGGAGGGCAGAGCACAGAGCAGGGCAGGGTAGGGCAGTGCAGGAGCAACATGTCCTGATGACCCATAACGGCTCCTGCTGTGCTAAGCAGCTTTGGCTGGGTCTTTTCAGGGAATCGCCTCTTCAACATCTGCGACGACGCACTGCTTCAGGGACTCGACAGACTCTTTGTAGATCACCTGCGACATCGGATTGCACCGGCTTTGCGGATCCGCAGATTCTACGGGACGTGCCTTTGCAACCACTGCTGATTCAGCGAGGCCCTTCGAGATAGACATCCTTGGCCATGCTCTGCTTACCGCTGCTTCTCCAAAGCTGTGGCATCGGAACTTAGCGGAATCGACGGAAGGAACCGAGGGCTTTTGTCGTTTGAAATCCATCCCACCTGCGTCTTTCCTCCGAGCACTGGTATCTACCAGGGACAAAACTTGAGCATTAACAAAGCATGCTGTGCAGACCTCCCGTGGTAGCCCACAGGAGGTGCAAGTCGCACCCCAACTGTTCTCTTCCAGAAGCGGAGCATGAAGCAGGGAGCTAGGCCCAGCTGCAAAAGGAGGACGCTGTTGTTGAAGCACTTCAACTCTACAGTGGGGCTTCTTTACTTCTGTTAAGGGCCTTCGGGCTCTGCTCCTGTTTCCACTGCGCCTTCCAGAAGGCCAAGATGCGGCACCACGCCAGCTTTGGGCAAGTGCCTAGCGGCCTAGCAGTCCCCTTTCACGTCTCAAGGAACCAAGCCTCAGAGGTGAGGTGCGGCATGCTTCATTGAGACAGAGATGCTGCTGTCTGCCATGTCCTCTGCTGCCAAGCGGCTGTCCTCACTCTCGGACTCCAGGCCCGAGTCCGACACCGAGGAGTCCTCCTCCTCCTGGCACTCCCACTCCACACCAGCAGCTGAGCAGCGCGGGCCTCCGAGGCGGCGAGCGCCTCGTCCTTGGTGGTCGGGCTCTTCGCTCTCCTTCCAGACAGGTTTTCTAAAGTGGCCAACGGCGAGCTCTCGCAACTCAGGGAGCCTCCGGTTACAACAAAGATGTCGACAAGGCAGGCAGCAGAAGCACTGTGCCACAAACCTGAGACAAATGCCACGAGTCTGGGGTGATGCTGTTGGGAAGGTCGGGAAGATCGACGCGACGGGGGCTTGCGGTGAGCGCGAATGAGGAGTGGCAGATTTTTCACATTACAGTCTCTGTGGCGTGATTCTTGAGAGGCAGGCAGAACGCAAACATACAACATCGTGGGGAGGTTCAAGAAGAAGATGCAGCCTCAGTGGTTTGCGGCCGTAAGCGTTCGCGCTGCGGAAGGACAACATTAGCGTCACTTTATCACCAATTGACCGTGGCGACCACATATCTCCAACTGACAAGCTCATGCAGCTAAGAATCGAAGGAAATGCTCAATGCAGCGGCAACAACATCGAGCTTGGCGGCTAATACAGGAGCAGCAATCCCTCGCAAGTGGAATCAATCTACTGAGGCGCATAAACTGGATTCAAATTCAACTGGTGATTGGCGCTGGCCTGCCCTCTGCATAGCAGTCTTCAAGGATCACCGCATCTTCGGTTCCAGCTTGAAAGACCACCTGTCCGCATGATCTTCGCTCGGCAGACGAGTCTCAGGGCTTTGCTCGCGTTTTGCGGACACGGTGTGGAAGAGGCCGCTTGAAGTCCGGGACTGTGGCGGTCGACATGCAAGGTTTGGTTTCCGAGATGCAAAGCTCGTGCCCGAGATGCATGGCACAAGGCAGTTTGCATCTCGGAAACCTACCCGCTCCAGTTCACCCAGTACGCTTTGCATCTCGGAAACCGACCTGCGCCGGTTCACCCAGGACTTTACTATTTTACCATTTCAGTACTATTTGCTATTATACTATTCTACCACGACCGGAGCCGTTTGCATCTCGGAAACCGACCTGCGCCGGTTCACCCAGAACTTTACTATTTTACTATTTTACTATTTTACCATTTTACTCTTTTACTATTTCAGTACTATACTACTCTTCTACTATGTCCTATTTCATATTTCAGTACTATTTGCTATTCTACTATTCTACCACGACCAGAGCCGTTTGCATCTCGGAAACCGACCTGCGCCGGTTCACCCAGGACTTTACTATCTTACTATTTTACTCTTTTACTATTTCAGTACTATACTACCTTTCTACTATGTCCTATTTACTATTTCAGTACTATTTGCTATTATACTATTCCACCACGACCAGAGCCGTTTGCATCTCGGAAACCGACCTGCGCCGGTTCACCCAGAACTTTACTATTTTACTATTTTACTGTTTCAGTACTATACTACTCTTCTACACACCAGGAACTCCACAATGTTTTATACCGCAAGCCTCTGCACCTTGCTCCAGCAATTCCGCCCCTGATCTGGCAGATGCCTGTCTTCTGGCATCCTCATCCAAGTGAGCCGGTCTATGTGTACGCAAGGCATGCTCAAGCTTAGCAGTGTCCGACCAAAATGCGCAAGGCTGGCTTGGGACTGGCTCTACACCACGTGTCCCGTCTGCAACACTAATCGCAGGAGGTCCAAATGTTACAGGTACCCCTTCAGCATGTTGCAGCTCTTGCCGCCCTTCTACAATCTGATCTTCGACATGTACTGGCATATCATCCGCAGGATGGGAAGGTGACTGTGGGGATTGCCCTTGCTCTATGTCTCGTGCCGCCATTGCCCACTTCGAGAGCTGAAGAGCTCAAGGCTCTTAACCTACTGAAATCCAAGGCACGGTCTATTTCTCGAAATCAAAAGGCCTCAGTTTGCAGTGAACTGTTCGCGCTTGGTATGCAAGGTGCTGGATCTCCGTCCATCACACTAGCCTGGTATGTTCCAAGCTCCTTCTCTGCCCAACACCAGCCAGGCATGCTCGATGAGCATCTGCACTCCCCTCCCAGCTATGCTGGGATCTAAAATAGGGTAGGCTAGTTCAGAAATAACGGGTGTACATGAGCTACGAAGAAATACGGATCATTCAGATCACCCTCCGAGCGGCAAGGCTTCAAGAGGTCTGTGTCATTAGCGTTAAAAGTTGAAAAGTAGCCAGCGAATCTATACAGGAGCACTTAAGATCCTGCATATACACGACCGGCTATAGAGACTCAAGGCCTTTCACGAGTTCACGGTCGCCTTCGCACAACTTCAAAATCCGTGCGTCCCGTCCAGAGCTGAGACAGCTTGCGAGCCCCACACTCAGTAGTGTCAAGTACGTAGTCAGGCAAATGCCCTTCGTAGAGATACCAGGACCAAGTCTTTCGACGACCTGTCAACTGCACATACGGAAAGCTGTTGACTATCTCTGCTGGGGCGTGAAACAGCTGCGATCTCGACGAGCTGTGGAAACGAACCACTACGTGGCTCGCCTCATCATAGCACCAGCGATCGGACGTTCCAGGGTCAAGCCACCCATCCGCCCAGCCAAAGCTACTCCCGAACAGCTGTCTTCCATACAGCCTCTCTTGCTCCATGGGCCGCAAAGCCGCACTCCGGTAGGACTGCACCTGATGCTGTCCTGGTGAAACCGTCTGTACATTGGGCTGATGACTGCCAGTGAGGCTCCTACGTGGACACAACCTAGCCCGGAACCAACCAAGAGCCCAAGCTCCGCCCTTGACGCCTTTCAGCGCAATGAACTTAGCGACTTCCCATGCGACAATCAGCGCAACCGCAAGCAAGCATTCGGACCCCAAAAGAGCCGAGAGAGAATCATCATTGCCATTATCCTGGACACGAGCGCCTTGGACCTGCCCCACCTGACTGGCGATAGCCAGTGCAGCAACTAACATGGCAAGTCTAGGGTCAGCGCTGGCCGGCGCGGCATAAACACAACTAGACTCACACTGCACATGAGTTGCTTCATCATGTGATGCCTCCGAGCCCTCACTCCATACGTAGCCTATCAAGTCAAGGAGAAAGTACAACCGGGATTCTGGCATCGCCTTTGTAAGGCAATCGGCCAGCATTTCAACGCCTGGCAAATGTTGGATCATCAATGCCTCGTCTGATATAGCTTCATGAAAGTGTCTCGCACGTAGTCTGAGGTGTCTCGTCCGCCACACTCCTCCGGGAATGATAAGTAGCTGGATGCACGCAGCATTGTCGATACATTGAGTCCACCGCAGCTCTTGCCGGCACATCTCCGCCCAGAGGGGAGTCAATGCTCTCACCAACACCATATTGTCCACGGCGGCAACGATTTCACTTTCGGCCGTTGAAAGTGCCGTCAGCGTTTGGCGGCTACTGTGCCAGCTGACCGCACCGCCTGCGATCACCAACAGGATACCTGTATGGCTTCGGCCACAGTCATCCTGACCAAAGCTTGCGTCCGACCATCCCTCAACCGTACATCGACTCCGTGCACATCTTAGCGGCTCCTGGCCGCGCCAAGGTTCATCAAAGGAGCCATAACCGGAGTTGTAGATGGGAGGTCCTCGCCAGATATGCCAGTGTCTTCAAGCCATCCCTGTATACCGAAGAAGGGCACCTTGAGCAGTATTGGCCAAGCTTGCTCACGGTGTATGACACGTCTAAACGTGTTTTACCCGATAGCCAGAGCAGCTCACCGACTAGTTTCTGCGCACGGCGCAGAAGAGGAATACCCAACGTTTCTTCCTCCTCGTAACCGGTCTTAAAGTCCGGAAGAGAAGACTCGACAGGCAATGCATACCGAGATACCAGATCACTCAAGTACGAGGTCTGATGTAGGTGATACGCTCCATCACTTCCCCGCTCAGCCTCAATGCCACAGAAGCGCAAACCATCCTTCAGCCAGTTCGGCTCGCTGGTTTTCCAGAGGCCGCCAAACGCTGCTATCATGAAAGAAAGTTCGTCCGTTGCCCCAGTCAAGAGAAGATCATCAACGTACACTCCCAAGATGGCTAATATTTCTCCCCATTCGTCTCGAAACTCGATACACCCAGTCTTACCTTCAAGAGCTTCCAGCACAAACCAGATTGAGGGATCGGCCTCAGATCGTCGCAGTTTGCGCAAACTCTCCCCGGGTCCAGTCCACGACCACTGAGCCAATGTGGAATCACGATACACCGACCAATCAGCCGGCCTCTCGACGAGTCCATAAAGTGCGCGGTCTACCAGAAGATAGGTTTGGGGATCAAGAAGTCCCGCATCAATTATCAAACGAGGAACTGCCACAGCAATCTTGGAACCCGTCTCGTCGCCGAGCTGGCGCAAGCAAAAACGCCGTTTTGACGTCAATGACTACTCCATCCCACCGAGAACCTGCTGCCCATCTCAGTTGTAACCGCAAGCTTTCA